CCGACTGCTTTAAATTAACGTGTATTACAAAAGTCCTCCATTTCTCCACAAATAAGATCAGAAATAATAGCAATATAAAACCATTTAGAAAGGTTTTTATTGTACTGCTGTTTACTGGTGTGAAAGATTTATTAAAATATGCTCAATGTCAGATAAATTCAGTTTACGCAAATATTGAACAACAAACTGTATATTCATGAAAGTAAAATAAAATAACAGTTGCATGAAGTAGAGAAAACAAATCAATGCAGTTTAGTGAATAACTCAATTCATTACCAGGTTTTCTCAATATAAGCAGGAGAAATATTGCTTCTCATCTAACTCTAGAAATGTAGGGCCATCTTCCTCAGACGACTATTTCAGCTTAATAAACTCAGCTGAAGATCCATAGTAAAGTCGGACTCCAGCATGCAGAGGCTCAGTGAATCTGGTCTGGACTCTGTGCAGGAGAGTCATAGATTCAGAGACGCTGTAGAAACACAGAATACCTGCTCTGTGGTCCAGATACACTCCCACTCTGGAGGAAACTGGACCTGGTACTGGAGTTTCAATGCCGTTATGATGAAATATGTACCTTCTTGAGTCACATTCTAAACACCAAGATTTTTATTGGATCCAAACCTGCATTTACCTGACAATTTTGATCTGCTGATGTTCTTGTATGAAACTGCAACATAAACGCCTCCATTTCTCCACTCCACCTCCCAGTAACAACGTCCAGTCAGAGTCTCTCTACTGAGGACCTGAAGAAAAACTGTGAATCTGTCTGGATGATCAAGATACAACTGTTGTTGGTCAGTTGAGGATACTTTTCTGTTCCCATCTGATAACAGCAGATTCATGTTTGCCGTGTTCGGATCTAGGGTGATTTCTTGTGAATATTTTAAGGATTCACCTCTGGTCTTTGGTTCTGGTTCTGTCAATAAAACATTAGCAATCTTCAGTTCGATGTTTCTCCATGAGACTCTCAGGACGTCCTGTAATTTGTCTATGAGCTCTGACACAGCTTCTGTTATGCCCTTAAAGTGTATCAGAAGATCTTTATTGATGCTTGATGATCCTGTAGACTCACTGAGTGCTGGCAGTGAGGGGTAGTTGAGGAGAAACTGGTGTGATCCTCTGTGTGTGAGAGCTGCTCCAGCTCAGCGTCTTTCCTCTTCAGCTCAGTGATCTCCTGCTGCAGCTTCTCCTGAACATCTTTGACTGGACTCTCACTTCAGTTTCCTGCTGGGATCTGATCTGCTGCTTCACATCAGAGCTTCTTTCCTGGAGGAGACGGATCAGCTCAGTGAAGATCTTCTCACTGTCCTCCACTGCTTTATCAGCAGAGACATTGATGGCCTCCACCTCCTGTTGAAGCAGCTTCACATCTTTCTCTTGGTCCTGGATTCTCTGATGGATTTGTTGTCGACTCTCCTGGAGCTTCTTCTGCTTCTCAGCTCTTTCTGCTGCAGCTGGGACTGTTTCATGGCCTTTATGTTCATCCATAGAGCAGAGATAACAGATACTCTGCTGATCAGTACGACAGAAGATTTTCATCACCTCATTATGACGAGAGCAGATGTTGTTCTGGAGCTTCTTGGAGGGATTCACCAACTTGTGCATTGCCAAAGCTGGAGATTCATAATGAAGCTGAAGATGTTTCTCACAGTAATTAACAAAGCAAACCAGACATGTCTTGACAGCTTTCCTCTTCCTCCCAGTGCAGACATCACAGGCCACATCATCAAGTCCAGCATAGCGGTGATCAGCTGCAGCAAACTGGAGTCCAATCTTCTTCAGATCTTCCACCAACTCTGTTAAAATTGTACTTTTTCTCAATGCAGGTCTTCTTCTGAAGGTCTCTCTGCACTGAGGGCAACTGTAGATTCTCCTCTGATCTCCATCCCAGTATCGTCTGATACAGTTCATGCAGTAGCTGTGACCACAGGGAATAGTCACCGGATCCTTCAGTAGATCCAAACAGATCGAACAGGTGATCTTCTGCAGCTGCGCTTCTCTCTGAGCCATTTTGCTTCTCAGTAACAACGACTGTTTGAGTTTTTATGTCTTAGAGGTTTAATTAGTTTGAACTTTAATCCAAACATGTGAGTCATTCAGTCAGACTTTGAGCTCCTCTATCATTGTTGTGCCCTATAATATCTAAAGGGCTGGGGAATAAACATCAGGCTGAACAAAAGCGGATCTTCCTGCTATGAAGCAAATTAATCAGGCAAACTGTAATTTTGTCACATGAAACCTTTCCTGGTTTTGTTCCTCTAATCAGGCACAAACCCACCAGTGGGTGAGAATGTCCCACCGCAACGTTGTGCCACTCAGTTAAATTAATATTCAACAAGTTGAACAGAGAATCCACATTGTGTCATTACACAATCAGATACATGCAACACAGTTCAGTTATGAACATTAACAGTTCACCCACTTATGTGCAATCAAACGTTTTGATATTGATCTGGAGGTTGAATCTACACCCTGCAGCCCCACTGGACTCTGAATTACAATCAGGAGCTAAAGTTTTGAAATCAGGGAACATTTTTCAAATTGAAGTGATAGGACGTCAGTAAGACAGTCTGAGTGAGGGAGGATGCTCTCCTGCTGCGTCCGCAGGCCCCACAGCCTCCACAACCCAACATGCTGGCAGCTACTGGGAGGCATTCAGCTCAGGTCCAGTTCAGCTGGGAATCGTCAGAGGTTTGTTTAAAATGTAGATCCAGATTTCATAATCAGTTTCTCTTATTCTGGAAGCAGTTTGTCAGTAGTAAAATACTAAGTCATCCCCAGCTAACATGAAAAACAAACTGCTCTTCAAATCAGGCCAACAACTCCATAAAGGATCTGTTCAAACAACAGTCAGTAAAGCCACACCTGTAACTAAGCACTTAACCTCAACTGAAGTGACCTTTGAACCTGTAACGCCAGGTCTGACTGAAAATTAGGTCAGGCAGCCATCGCTATCATCCATTTACAAGTTGATGATCTTGTTTGCAGAGCTACAGTCTGTGTGCAACAACACCGAGGTACAGCACCAGGCAAAGCTGCTCCAACAATATAATTCACATCTGATGAGACGGGAAGAGACGCAGCTCTCCACTGGTTTCTGTCATCAGCTGCGAGTTAAACATCCAAACATCTGGAGGACGTTCAGATCGTCAGCTTGTTCAAGCCCAAAACTGCTAGTTGCACATTTTTGTCCACAAGATGGCAGCGTTCAAAAGCCTTTTCCAAGGTTTGGTTCAAATGAATTTATGTATTCAATAAGATTGATGAATACATAAATTGAAATAACATGAGGTATGTAGTGTCAGCCATGTTGGATAATTTTATTGAATTAAATGTTTGTTGACTGAATAACTGAAATAAAGATTGATGGAACATTAGATCCAGGATGGTGAATCATGTAAAACTGACATTTGCTTCACAAACATCTAAAAGGATTAGATTTTAACTTTATTAGGACTTTTAAGACTAAGAGCAGAAAAAACATAAAAATGTACAAATAGAAAATTTTAACACAGAGGAAAATGAGTTTCACTTTTCAATAACAACCGAAGATGATTTTAGGGATTTTATTAGGAAATGTTTTATTTTTTTAAAAATAAAACATTTTTTTTAAATAAAAAATGGAAAATGTTTTTATTTTATTTATCTAAATACATTTACAGCCCTAATGTATATAAAGATTTAAAGAATGTGACAACTTGTTTGCTTATGGACAACAGACACAATATTTGTGTCTGAATGAAACAGACAGTGACTCTTGTTCTGTTCATTTCTACTTTTAAATGAATTTCTACTATCAGGTTGAGCCAGAATTTGATATATTTCCAGTAAAACAGTGACTGATCTCCTGATTGATGATCATGTGGATTAGAACAACATTTGGTCTGAAAAAGTAAGACTTTATGTAAGTCTAATGACACAAAATGAGCAGCAAAAGCCTCCATGGCTGAATTAACCCCAACATCAATAAAACCTCAAACAGGATGACAGAGTAGCTTCATAAAGAAAGATGAATCTCTGAGCAGTGAAGAAACGGCAGCCATGATGTTTCATCGTCAATGAGAGACGAGCTGAAGCTGAAATATACATCTTCAACTAGATTTCAGATCTTTGCTGTCTATTTCGGTTTGAAATGGAGTCGACATAAATATAAACTCCAGCCTGCAGCGGCTGAGTGAATCTGGTCTGGACTCTGCAGGAGTCATGGATTCAGATTCGCTGCAGAAACACAGAATACCTGCTCTGTGGTCCAGGTACGACTCTGGAGGAAACTGGACCTGGTTCTGGAGTTTCAGCATCGTTGAGATAAAATGCGTAACTTTCTGAGTCACGTTCTAAACACCAACATTTGTCATTGAATCCAAATAAACGCTCACGTGACTTTCCTGCTTTTCTTTAAATTATTTGAACTCCAACAATATTTCACACTGTAGATTTTATTAATTTACTGGTATTTTGAGCTCTAATCTTTGTCAACATAAGTCCACTTTGATTTGGTGATAAAAGGTGAGTAAAATATGGATAATATAACCTTTCAGAAATAATTCACTCCATATTTTTGGAGTCTAATTAATTTTTACATGATTTAATATTTTAATTATGACAATTTTTCCAAGATATTATTTTTCTTTTGTCCCCAAATTCAACATTGTCAAAATTAATTGTAAAAATAATGGTCTTTTCTTTGGGACAATTGACATTAAAAGCTCCTTATTTCAAACAATGTAAAAGTTAGATGTAGTTTCCATTCAGTAGTTTTTTTTTCTTACATTTGGATGTTGTCATGTAGTTTTTCTAATGTCACTAGGAAATTAATTATAGAAATATGCATTTTAACTATTTTAGCTCTTTATTATTGTGATGATTTTGTGACTGTGATTTTGTTTTTCCTGCTGTCATTTTCCAAATCACAAACCCAAAACCTATTTAGTTTCCCTCCCTCTGCTGAACAAATGTTTCTTTTTCTTAAAAATCTCTTAGACGGTTTATTCTTCATTTCTTTATTTTCCTATTTTCCAGAGTGTTTTAATACAGTAGCTGTGTCCACAAATGCTTCAGCAAATTCAATTAAACAAAGAGGACATTTCTCTATCAGCTCATAAATGACTACAACCTTTTGGAAATTACCATCGATTTTAATCAATAGCTCTTCAAAAAAAAGTTTTCACAATACTGATCCATAAAATAACTCGGCAGCAATGATAAAGACTAAACTAAAAACTAAAATACACACTTGAACCAACTGGACCTTTGATCACTGCTGAATGTTTAGATTAATGAATTCTACAGACAAACAAAACCAACGGTACCGACTCTGTGGAGGAGAGTCATGGATTCAGAGACGCTGCAGAAACACAGAATACCTGCTGTGTGATCCAGGTACGACTCTGGAGGAAACTGGACCTGATACTGGAGTTTTAACTTTGTTGTGACGAAACTTTTATCTGTGTAGCATCATAATGACCTGTAACCGAATCCAAATAAACATTCATTGATCGTCCTGCTCTGCTGATGTTCTGGTAGGAAACCATGATGACATCACCAACCAGAAACAACATCCAGTCAGATTCCATTATAATCAGGGAGTTCAGACTCCTCTTCTTTTATTGTTTTTCTGTTCCCATCAGATAATAACAGATCTCTGTTTTCTATGTTTGGGTCCAGAGTGATTTCCTGTGAAGATTTTAAGAATTCAGCTCTTGTCTTTGGTTCTTCATTGACTCTCAATTCGATATTTGTCCCTGTGTCTCTCAGGACGTCCTGTAGCTTGTCTGAGCTCTGACACAGCTGCTGTCGTCCTCAAAGTGTCTCAGAGGACGGATGTTGATGCTGGATGATCCTGTAGACTCACTGAGTGCTGGCAGTGAGGGGTAGTTGAGGAGAAACTGGTTGTGATCCTCTGTGTGTGAGAGCTGCTCCAGCTCAGCGTCTTTCCTCTTCAGCTCAGTGATCTCCTGCTGCAGCTTCTCCTGAACATCTTTGACTCGACTCACTTCAGTTTCCTGCTGGGATCTGATCTGCTGCTTCACATCAGAGCTTCTTTCCTGGAGGAGACGGATCAGCTCAGTGAAGATCTTCTCACTGTCCTCCACTGCTTTATCAGCAGAGACATTGATGGCCTCCACCTCCCGTTGAAGCAGCTTCACATCTTTCTCTTGGTCCTGGATTCTCTGATGGATTTGTTGTCGCTTCCTGGAGGGATTCACCAGGTTGTGTTTCTTTAAATGTGGAGCGTCGTAGTGAGGTTGGAGATGTTCCTCACAGTAACTCATCAAACAAACTACACAGGACTTGACAGCTTTCAGTTTCCTCCCAGTGCAGACATCACAGTCCATCTCTTCATAGTGGTGATAGTGGTGATCTGCTGCAGCAGCTTGGATTTCAGTCTGGAGTCCAGATGAAGGAATGTGAACATCTGTATCTTTGCTGCTGCTTCCATCAGGACGTGGGCTGTTGTTCTGTGACTGACACATGAGTGTTCTTAGTAAAGTCATCCCTTTATCAATGGAGTCTAACATCTTTTCCATCTGCACTGAAAGGTTGTTCAGTTTAGTTTTGTTGTTCTTCTCGGATTCCTCAAGCAACTGCAACATGCGTCTTTTAATCTGGAGGTCTTCCTGCACGGCCGGATCGGAGAGCACCTTCCTTTTCAGCTGGTCTCTCTGGTGGCCTGCGCGCGTCGCCTTTAAATGAGAAACAAAACATCACATGACAAATCTATGTATGGGCGGATCCACATGGGGGGCAAAAAGGGGACAGGGCTCTAAAGGTTTATGTCCTTGAAATAATACTTAAACTTGTTTCTTGTTTGACCAAACTAATTGATAGTTTACCAAATTAAAGTTCAATTACGTTTGGAATGAGTAAAACGGCTGCTGAAGATGACAGATGATTGTGCAACAAAATAGCCAAATAAACATGAACTTTTGAACGTTTTTATAGATTATCCTGATTTATTTGTTGATTATTTGTAGCAATATTATTCAATGTCGATCCAAAACTGAAAAATGATTTTGCACATCTGTTTCAAATTATTTCACGCTAAGTTGAACAACTTATTCAATAAATATTAATTTATTATTTGATAAACTAACTAAAAGCTGATGTGGGGGCAGCAAAGTCAGCTTTTCAGTGACGTTTGGGGATAAAAATACAAACATTTTGTGCTGTAATTAACATTTTATATTCATGTTAATTGCAACACTGTGCAGCACTTTGCAAAGGCATATTTTCCATTATGTCAGTGAGAATTTCCACCTGATTAAAAATAAAAAAAGTTTAAACTCTTGTTGTTAAGGGAGACAAAAAAATCAGTCTAAGTGCCACAAATGGCTCGCGGGCCGCACTTTGGACACCACTGACCATCAGTTTTAACCACTTTAAAATAGATCCGCCACTGGCCTGCAGAGGATGTGCTCACCCACCTGGAGGATGTTCCGTCTTGTATTCACCTCGGAACCGAGGTTTTCATCGCTCAGAGAGACTTCATCCCCCACGGGGTCGAACCGAGCAGCACGTGGAGTCTCTGCGGCCGATGAACTCCTGAAGCTGCCCTCCACCTCTCGGGTCTCTAACCCAGATTCTACTGCCTCCGTGTCCGGTGATTCATCCCAGATCTGCTTGCAAAGCTCAAAGTACAGCATCACCACACGGCCGTGTCTGTTCGGCCGGCCGGAGCCCACAGCCTGCCGGTATTTCCAGCGGATCGCTTTGAGCTTGCAGGTCAGCTGGTGCCTGGAGGTCGCCTCGGTGCTGTGGGGGAAACTCCACCGTTCTGCCGGCTGGATACCGCCGCACGAAGGCTTCGTGGATATCTGCATACTTTGTCGGGCAGGACTCCCAATCAATGTCCTCCTGGTACATTAAATATTTATACTCTAAAGTAACACGAAGTAAAAGTTCCACCTCTTCATCAGTCCAAACAAAACTCGAACGTGCAGCCGCCATCTTTGTTGTCTTTGGTTCTTCTTCTTGTGTTTTCATGGCGGTTCGCGGTTGGCAAACAACTACAGGCGCAATACCGCCACCTACCGGTACAGAGTGTCATTCATGATTACGCGAATAATCCCACATTTCTGCCTTCAAAATAGTTTATCGATTTGATGTAATATTTAAGTCTTAAATTTAGTTTTTTCATGAACTGTTAGCAGAAAATTGTCACAATTAAGAGAAATTAAAGTCTTAAAATATCTGTTGTCAAATAAAAATACAATCTGTATAAATGTATATAAATGTCAGTAAAATGTTCAAGATTAGAATATTAGAATATTTTGGAATATATATACATTTAACACAAAACTCAAACATAGACTAAACTAAATATTAAATATCATCCATTTCTATTAAGCATTTTTTTCAGTGTATTCACTTTCCTTTTTTTAGTTTCCAAACTCTCTCTTGATAATCTTCTCTCTACTTCATATCTGTGACATTCTAACATGTTCTATGATTTCATCCTTCTTACAGAATATTATGCCTTTGTATAATAAAGGTTTTTATATCAGAATCCTTATCTGCAGCCTCAGATTCTCAGTTGTTATTTGTAAATTAGCGACGTTCTCTGACCTGCTGTTGAAACATTTCCACTTCTTGTTTCATTCTGGAAACATCTTTTTCATATTTGCACTGGAGTTCTTCTATGAAACTTTGACGTGGTCCAATTCTTCCTGCAAACGTCTCTCACTGTCTGGCAGAAATATGATCTGCTGTGATATTTTATGAAACATATCAAGGAGCTGCTGTTCCTCATTAACCCTTGCATCACTAAACCTTTGCGACTTCCTGCGTCTTCAGACTTTGAGCGAAGCGTCTCATAGGAAGTTTGTCCAGTAGGTCTGGACAAACTCCAGTTTGTCCAGTTCTTCTAGGGCATTTCTTTCCTCATTTTCCACCAGGATTTGTGCTGCAAATGTTTCCTTCTTGTTGCAAATCCACCTTCTTCTTGTATCTCACATCCTCGTGAATCTCCATTTTTAAGATGGACCAAATAATCCAGATTATTGTTGCTAATTTTTAACTGTCTAACTTTACAAATCACATTCCACATGGTATTGTTGAACAGTTTAACGCAAATAAAGATGCATTTATACATTCCTAAGGAGATTGCAACCAATTTTATTTGAAGGTTGCGCCATCTACTGGAAAAGGAAAGCAATTGCAACACAGACTGGAAAATGTAGAAAGATTAAAGAAAGGTTCCCAATGATTATTTACTGGTTTTCACTGTCCCAGTTCAGTCTGTTTGTCTTGAATATCAGGATATGCAGTGATGATATGAGAATAAAAAGAAGGAGAAGAAGAGCGCATGGCGAGAAGGTGGAAATGCAGCGGAACCAGAGACAGAAGATCAAGGGTCCGGGACGGTCGGTGGGCAGAAGCAGTTTTTCGTTTCTGGGTAAAACTCTGTTACGGTTGTTGTCAGAGGACATTCTGATCCAGGGAATATTACAAACTCAGAGTTGGACCTGTGCAGCCGGTGTTGCAGGTCTTCCAGAGTCTCCGTCTTCAGATACTTGTGTTTGGACTCGTCCTGAACGTTGTGGCCCCAGTGCCCGCTCGCTATCCACGCCTCGGCCACGGCGCTGTAGCAGCAGAACGCCGACCAGAGCGCAGCGGGAACGTTGACCCTGTTGTTGAGGGTGCTGTTGGAGCTGGGCAGGGCCCCGGTCACCACAAAGCCCCCGGTACCGCCGCCGCTGCTGACGCAGTACTTCTCCATGATGCATTTGGTGCACCTGGAACAGGGTTTCATTAGGGTTAACTTTAGCTAAATTTTGACTTTGATTCATTGGTATAAGTCATGTGGCTCTTGACAGTTGGTGGTAACTTTAGCAGTCAGTTACGGGCAGCTCCTCCCCTTTTTCTGTTTCAGTCTAACTATATTGCGATCAGTTCTGTGTTGTTGCATTTTAGCATATATTTTAAATTAATTTAATAATATTCATGGGTTTTGTACTTGATTTTCTCTTGTTAGAGATGTTCCGTTATCCACTGTGTAATAGTCTCTGAATGTTGTACATGTAAAAGGGTTTTATTTGATGTGAAGTTTATCAAAATGTATTTATTGTTATGGGCTTGCTGTGGTGGCGCATCTGTAGTTTGCTTCAAGTTATTTATTGTACTTTATTTTACTGTATTCAGTGAACCTGAGTGAGTTTGTTGTGAAGTCGGCCATGTTGGATCTGAGACAAACAACGATGTTTACACACCTCTCCATTTTGTTCCAGCTGCCCTTGTTGAAGGACTCCGCTTGGGGAACAACGTTGGTCAGGGTGAAAGTCGACCGTTTGTCCGCTTTGGTTGAGGCGTAGGAGCTAGGAAATATGTGACCCCGGTCAAATGTTCTGTTGGATCTGTAATCCACAGTGCCGGCCTGGTGGTTGTAGGTTCTGTTCGTATCTCCGGGGATCATCCTCTTCTCTCCATTTGGATTCTCCAGCTGTGAAAAGAGTAGTTGAGACAAGGAGGCAAGGGTGCTCAAGTCCAGTCCTCCAGAGCTTCCGTCATGCAACCTTTAGATGCGTCTTTATCCAACAGATCAGGATCGACTCTGAACCTACCTGCTGACGATTCATTTGATTCAGGTGTGTTGGAGCAGGGAAGCATCTGAAAGTTGCAGGATGGAAGCTCTAAAGGACTGGACTTGAGCTGCCCCGGTCTAGAGAGTCTGATTTGTTTGGGGTTGTGTGAATGTTTGACCAAAAAAGCAAACTCTGGTGCGGTTTGCATATGTGAGTGCTAAGTGGACCGGAGACCACTCCAGAAGCAGGAAGTGGACTTTAGCGCTGCACATTCGGGATAAATGCAACCAAAACAAACACGCTAGTCTAGTGTCAGAAATGGATGATGTGTACTGCTAAAATTGAAAAACTACAACTGCTTTGATTTGACACCACTCCATTTTTGTTTCCATTTTTTGCTCAGTGTCTTCTTTAGAGGTTTTTGTGTTGTTATCCCTTCAGTGGTTCTTGGTATTTTGCCCCCACAGGTGGGGAAGGAACAGGTTTTTCAAAAGGTTTGGTTGGTTTGACTCAGTGCATTGTGAAAGCTAACCACACCAACTGAAATATAACAAATGTAATTTGGTCCCAAATTCAGTCGAGTCTACAGGACTCTCAGGTGTGAAAACAAGCCTACCTGCGGTTCTATCTTCCAAACGGTTTTGGGTCTTTTTCTGGAAACTTCTCCAGTGAACTTGAAAGCAGAAAACACCGGAATCCGGTTGCGCACATCGTAAAGCGTCAAGAATTTTCTTTGATTCCCGTAGGTCTGGCAAATGACCTTGTACCGGTTCTGATCGAGGATCATCCCGCCCTCCAGGATGCCTGGAATGTGCGGTGGTGTTTGGCCAAGGAGGAAGAGGTCACAGTCTGATACTGACTTCATCACTTCAGCAAACGCTTGTACAGACAGGAGGAAGAGAAGAGCTGTGGTTGGCAGGAAACACCAAACCTGCTGAGTCGTCATGTCCTTCGATCAGAGGAGACAAAAGTGGGTCGATCTAGATCTGTTCTGAACAGTTGAACATCATAAACTGCTAACATTGTTGGTTAGTTGCATTAGAGTTGCATAAGACCAGTTAGCAATGCTGATCATTTTTTCTGACGATTTACAATCTGCTGGGTTTTAGTAGAGAAAAGTTTTTAAAATAATTTGAATAATAAATTGAGCTCAATTCACTGTTGATAACCAGGATGAATTGGAATGAATTGGCTCGTTTGCTGAAATGTGTGACACAGACAAACCTGCTTTCCTGACTGTTGCATCCTAACCCTACATCACAAAACTTGAACTGAAGAACGGAGGCAGTTCAAGAGTCAACCCCGAATACACCGACCAAACAAAACTTACCAAGTATTTTTGGTCTAGTTTCTGGTGATAATATCTCAGTTTTGTCTTATTTCAAAATGAATTATCTTACAAGTAACTTTGCAGCAGAGAGATTATCAGTTACTTGCAAGTTACATTTCAAATAACTCCGATATTACCACAATCGACTAGACAAACATACTGAATTTTATGTTTTTGCAGTATACTTTATCCTCAAAGAACATAGAAATCACAAACGAAACTGGACTATTTAGCTTAGTTTCCTAAAGTATGTTGGAATGATAAATTAATTAAAACTACAAACTGAAACTCTGGAAATGAAATATTGAACTTGACCCATATAAAAAGTTTTAAATACTTAGTAACTATGTTAATAAGTAAATCCGTATTATCTGATCAAATTCACCATGTTTAGCATTTAGTTGATAAAACAGAGCTCACCGTTTCTAATGAGAAAGTGTCCCGACGTGTTTGTTTCCTCTAATGAAGAGATCAATATGACTTCCTCAAACTTGACAGGAACTTGTGGCTCTCTCTCATGACAGAATGTGCGGTCGGATGTTTGAGAAAACTGCTGCCAGGAAACTAACTTTAGCTAGTTTTCTCTGAAAGCTGCTGCATGTCTCGTTTTAATTCCCCCCGACCGTCTGGCGAAACGATGCTGGTTCAAATGTCAAAGAAATGTCACAAATGAGTCTGCAGAGGAGAAAATATGAAGTTTGCATTCATAAGCAGTTTCTGGGGACTGACGTGTTCATCGGTCTGTGGATTTAACCCATGTCTGAGGTCGACCTGGCGCTGTTACACAAACCCACTGAAAAGCTTTGGGAGTCTGTTAAGAAATTATTTATTTATTTCAGTTAAGTACATTCATAAAGTTGAAACTTGTAGCATAATATATATATATATATAAACCATTATTGTACATTCAGTGTAAGTAGACCAGTAACTGTACTGGTTTGGGCTGTTTTGCATGAACAGCTGATGACATGGAGACCCAAAGCGTCACCGACTGTGGAATCGGCTCTTTATAACAACGTTACGTTGCTTTGTAACTACATATTGTTGACAACAATAACGTGTAATCAGCAACATATTTGCTTTATATCAAGTTTGTTGTTATACAGTTATAACCATGTTATAAACAATATGTTGAAACAACTTCTGATTAGCAACATGTCACTTTAACAAAAGTCGAAAAACTTTGCTTTTTTACATATCATTTTTTTAATATTCTGCTGTATAGCAACAATCTATTGTTATAAACAGTATGTTGTTACAAAGCATTGTTATAAACAATGTGGCTTCATAACAATGTTATAAACAATATATTACAAAACACATTGTAACAGCAACATACGATTATTATAAAACAATGTTAACAGCAATATTGTTGCAGTATAATCTGTTATAAAGAATGTTGTAACCATGTTAAAAATATGTTACAAAGCAGCAATATGTTGCTTTACAGAGTAAAGCAACATATTGCTGCTTTGTAACTTATTGCCATTAATATATTGTTTATAACACTGTTGTGAAAAGTGTTATAAACATGTTACAAACCACAATATGTTGAAACAATGTGTGATTAGCAACAATGTTGCTTTTAAAAAAGTTTAAAAGGTTTAACCAAAAAACTGTCAAAAACTGGAGAGTTTAAACTGCTGGCAGGCCACAAAATTTATTTAGTTAAGAATATAAAAATTTGTTTCTGATTTTTGTGTTAGGTGTCACTCAAGGGCTGGTTTTAAATAAAAATCAGTCTGTGCTGCGGTTAATCCAAACCTCGACTTGTGAGTTTCTTTACTTGCAGTAAGAACTCCAACAAGCAGAAGAAAGGAAGCCATTTATTTCCACCCAACATGTTGAAACACCTGGCTAAGCCTCTGCAGTCAGTGAGCGTCGCTCAGGTCCAGTTCGCCGTCCTGAATCGGGTTCAGCAGAGACGCAGCAGCTGATGAGCAGATGTGGTCGGTTCCTCTCGCGCCTCGACGTTTCATCGCGTTAAGCAGCATTAATGTGCAGGTTGCTATCCTTCCGTTTGTGGTTTTAAAATATAAACACCACAAAGCCTTTGGAAAGGTTGGGACAGCAGGTGCGTCTTCAGCCAGGATCCTGAGCATCATCCTGGATGCTCAGGGTGAAAAAGTACCGTCGTCCTCCAAAACGTCTGAGAGCATCAGGCAAAGCTGAGAGAAAGACGGACGCTCATCCGGCCTCTGCAGAGAGAAAAGTAAAACTTCAGAAACGTCCTCTAGAAAAACAGAGCAGAATCTGGAACTCTTAAAGGGCCGGTATGCATTTTCCAACCTCATAGAGCCATTTTATACAACAATAAAGTAACTGTGTTGCTCTGTGGAACAACGCCAAATGGAGCAAAGCCCAAAACTTTCCCAAGTGTTTTTTATCTAGATTATAGTGCAAATATCTCAGTACACTTGAAATTAAAGTTACCTGTTAACTTACAGGTAACTTTTCATGCAGGAGATTATTTTAGTATGAAATATTTACAGTTCAGTTAACATTGATGGAAGTTTGAACAATAATTTCTTACATCACCAGTTTTTACAAAACAGAAAACAGGAATGTTTTAAAGGAAATAAACACATTTCTGTTCAGGCTAAAAAAAAAAAATCCTTTTATCTACAAACATAAAATGAATCTCTAGTTTCCTTTTGAATTCAAAGTTAAGAATTGAAATAACAGAACAGTCCAACAGATGGCGCTACACATTCAATAATGAATAACCAGCTCTGTAAATAAAGCCTTTTATTATTAAACACACAAAAATATTAGTGATAATTTTCATCTGTCGTCCATTAAAAACATAAAAATTATGCAATTAATATCATTTACAGACAGCAATGTCAGACACATTGTGAAAAGTATATTCAATAAAAAAGCAGATAAAACATAAAAACTCATTCAACTTCTGTCAACAGTCAGAATTTCTTTTTAGATTATTTTTTTAAACTAAAAATATATCTGATTATTTACTTGAATACGTTTGTTTTTGTCAACTCCGTGTTAAAACAGCATCTAATCTGAGCTGTTTGCTCTGTGAGTCAGTGAAGCAGAAAAAGGCTGAGGGAGCAGACAGACATTTCTCTTTTTCCTTCCACTTACGTTGTTCCAACAGAGCTGCATGATGTCGTACAGGGCGGGCGCCGCCATCTTGGGCCGGAACAGCCGATGCCCGTTGGTGACCATGGCAACCACTTCGTGATTGAGTCTTTGGTCGAACGGCATCTGGCCCTCTGTGAAGACCTCCCACATCAGCACACCTGGACACAGACACAAGCATGTCAACGTCGTCAAAGAGATGTTGATTTTAACTCAAAGACGTTTAGACATCAGAAAACGAAGAGACAAAAGAAACATCGCTTTTCAAATAACGATCAGAACCGATCCAACCCAAGACTCTCGTTGTGTTTTTCCAGGTTTTGTTTCTCTGACACCATCGATATACGCTAACATGCTAATATGCTAATAGCAGAGCTAAATTTCAATTTAGCACTTTTGCTAACTTTGAAAACAACGCATTATAATTTCTTTAAAATGCGTAATTATTTAGTAAACTTTCAGATGGATGAAGTTCAACATCTGTGTTGACATTTTTGTTATCAACTGTTGAAAATCCTTCATGCTCTTATTTTGAAATATGGGATGCTTCTCTTTTTCCCCCTATTTAAAACTACAAACATACAAGAACAAAATAAAACAGACAGCAGAGAAAAAGATATAAATACAAACAAAATATCTCCGGGTAAAATAGAAAATGTAAATTATAATTTCAAATTTAAACTGGGCATAGACGGTGCATATATAATTTAAACTTAAGTTAGCACTTTAGTCTCTGCTAGTCTAGCGTTAGTTTATGCTCACTTTAGCATTAGCTTCTGCTAACTTTCTCATTAGCTCCTGCTAGCCTAAGCATTAGTTTCTGCTAGCTTTAGCATTAGCTTCCTCTAATGTTTATTTGTTGTTTTATCACAATTAACGCTGACTTACTTAAGAGTGAGATTCTCAGCTCTGTTCTGGTGTTGATGTGTAAATGTGTTGCTCTGTGGTTTTAGCGTTTCTCACCGTACGACCAGACGTCCGATTGCTGCTGAACTTGCAGTAGTTAAAGACCTCAGGCGGAGACCACTTCACAGGAAACTTGGCACCTTTGGTGCTGGTGTACTGGTTGTCCAAGACGTACCTGCAAGAGGAGCGTTTAATGGCCGCAGATTTGTGTGAGTGATATGAAAATAATCAGAGTCTTACCTGGCCATGCCGAAGTCAGAAACCTTCACCACCATAGCGTCGTTCATCAGGCAGTTCCTGGCCGCCTTCACAAGACAAGCAGCTCATAAATGACAGCAGCAGAGGTTGCAAAGCCCCAGTCAGAAGCAGAAGAGACGTACCAGGTCTCTGTGGATGAAGCTGTTTTCCTCCAGGTACTCCATGCCCTCGCAGACGTCCAGGCACATGTCGAGCAGCGACCCGGGGCTGAAGCTGCCGCGCCGCTGCCTCAGGTAGTTCACCAGGCAGCCCTGCTGCATGAACTCTGTGACGATGTAGATGGGCCTCTGCTGGCTGCAGACGCCGTACAGCTGCACCAGCTTGGGATGGGACAACTTCCTGGAGAGACGGCAAGAGAATGAGCCGCCCGTCATGAGGAAATCCAGGCTTTTGGGTTCATTCACATTAACCCTCTGTATTCTGCTCTGTTTGTTTGCCAAGTAAACCACTCTAGTAATTCTCGTTTTGGTTGTTTTCTGGTCCTTACATCATGAGTTTGGCCTCTTCGATGAAGTCCTCCTCGTACATGGCGCCCTCCTTGATGGCCTTAATGGCCACCTTGTGCTGAGACCTCCACATGCCGAGCCTCACCTGGCCGTACTGACCGCAGCCCAGCTCCTTCATGAAGGTCAACTCGCTCGGGTTGATCTCCCACATCTCTGCAGATACAACACATGCAGGGTTAAACCAAGAGCAGGTGAAGGTAAAAATACTGTAAACTAAAGTCTGAAATAAAGATTGAAGATAATCTGGCTGTCCCACTCACCGTAGCTGAAGCCTGCCGTCGATGGACCTGACTTGTCCTGCTTTCCTACAGGATATCTGAGCCTGGCTGCAAGACCTGAAGAAGAACAAATTCACACATAAATGATCTGCTATTCAAATATTTAAAGAGGCAATAATGAATATTTATAGTTCACTCTACTATATTATCTTTAGTTCCTACAAAAATGCTACATGTATCAAATACAACTTAATAAATTAAATTGGGCCTCGGCTAAGCTCCGTTCTGCTGGGCTTTTTGTTACCGGCTCCGTTGTGGCTGTGGTACTCGATGAGTTCAGGGATGGAGCTGAACATGTGTTTCTCAGCCAGGTAAAACATTTTGGGGGAGCACTGCGTCTCTTTAATGTGATAATGTTTAATCATTGGACCTCCTTTCCTATAAAACACAATAAAACAGCAGATCAGAGGGAGAAAGAAACAATCCACGTTGAACTGAAGCCGGACCGTTTGGTCTGTAAGCAAAACTCACTGCATATCTTTACTATGTGTTACAACGGCCTAGTCCAAACCTAAGTCTGAGGTAGACATTGTTGTTCAGAGATGTTTCTTGTCCAACTTTTAATTAAACTTTGGCTACATTGCAAAGAAAAATGGTTGAAATCTTAAACTGGTCGAGACAAAACTTCAAAATTAATACTCAATACGACTGAGGTTTGGTTTAAGTACCAAGTTTAATTTTAATTTTAAAAATGGCCTAAATCCAGTCAAACCAGAGGTTTAAAAACATCTAAACAGCTAAATATTAATCATAGTAACCAGCAGAAGTTTTGTCAAGAGTCTAAAACAGACAAAACCAACAGAAACCAAGTCAAATTCAGGCTGACAGGGATTATTACCCAGATCCTGCTTTGGTGTAAAGAGAGACTGTGTATGTCGACGGGAGGCTGGAGTCTCTCACAATGAAGGCTCCTTCTTTGTCCTGCAGGGGGCGACAAACACAAACAAACCAAAAATATTGGTCATTTTTTGTTAACAGATAAATTGATTGATATTTAACTGAGGAGATTTAAATCAAAGCTTCTGCGTTTGAATCACGAAGGTTTACGTTTGATAAAATATTAAAAGTAAAGAAGCAGAAAATAAACAATAATAAAGACTGACCTCCTTCCTCAGCAGCTCCTCAGCCATGTTCCTGTTTACTCCTTTACTGTACCACCTGAAACAAACATTATGAGACTTTTATCACTTCCACACTTAATCTGAGAGATTACCTTATATTTTGTAATAAATGTCAACCTAAATGTGACTTTTATTTTTAGAAAAATGCATGACAAATTCAAAATAAGTGATAAGTTCTTGTGAAACAAAAACAACTTTCTATATGCAGGTGAGGAATGTTTAGGTTCATATTTGTAGTCAAATATTTATATTTATATTTACAGTAAAAGTAGTACATAAAAAGCACAATAATACTTTAGCAATACTAGCAATATTAATAATGCTATTTGCAAACAAAGTTATTGAAAACCTTGTTCTTGTCTGTTTTTTTTCTCTTCAAATCCAAAACTTTATATATTGGGGGAAAAGTTGCTTGTAGAAACAAACTATTGTTTTTATAGCATCTCTTTGTTTTATCCTGATCAGTTAATGAAATAAATTCACATCAAAAACTTAAGAAAAATGTTTAATGTTAATAAATAATGAAATTTAACAAAAACCACATGTGCAAAACTGCTGGCAGTCCTGCTGTTCCTTCTACACCAGCTGGAAATAAAAATAAGCTTCAGTTTAAGTAGCAACAGTCATTAAAGTGAACTTTTACATTCATTAAATACAGAAAACCTTTTGTCACAAAATTTATGATCACGCGAGTTAAGAAAGTTAATGACTAATGAGAGCTGCAGCAGGTTTCAACTTTGAACCAGGAAACATTTGAGCCACTTACGAGAACTGCACCAGGTTCCCACGTTTTCTCCGACACGTAGTTACTGGGGATGTATCCTTCCTCCCTGAGGAACAAACCCACAAAAATCTGGTTTAAAAAGTGGGAAAAAATCTACTTTATTCTGCACAAAGTGTCATTTTTTAACTGGAAATCTGGTTAATTTAACCACTTTGCCTACTGAAGCGTCCAGCTCTTTAAACTGAGACAATACACTGTAAAAACAGAAAACCTTGCCAAATATTTTTGCTCTAATTTCTAGTGCAAATATGAAATGAGACAAAACTAACTTATAAGTGACTTTTCAGCAAGATAAAGGAGTTTGTTTTAGATAAATAATTCCTTAATATTGATGAAAAATGTTTTATCATGAGTGAAATAATCTGCCAGTGAAATATTGCTTTTGATCAATATTAATGAATTATTGATTTAGAACAAGCTTTCTATATCTTGCTGAAAAGTTTCTGGTTAGTTTTGTCTTAATTGGAAAATATGACCCTTTATTGCAGATGATTTTCGCTCTGAATGCCAAAAAGGCCAAAAGAATGACAAAGTTTAGCCAAAATGGCGGACAGTTAGAAGGTTTTGCGTGACCTCTGTGTGACCTCTCACCGTACTCGTTGCGTGCCCTGAACCAGTTGACGTCACATTTCTCCAGGATGACGTACTCTCTGCCGCGGACCAGCTTCAGGTCGTGCGGCTCCATGCCTGGGAAGTCGTAGAGAGCCACCACCACCTCCTCCTCCTCCTCCTCGTCATCCTCGTCTTCGTCCTGCGGGACGGGAGGCGGCCGCGGCCGGCGCTGCGGACAGCAGGGCGGAGTGTTTGCGTCAGCATCTCTGCTGCTCCTGATTCATCGGCTGCTGCCGCTGCTCGTTTTGTTTACTCACCGTGTTTCCCTGTCCAGGAATCGGAGGCAAAGGTTTTCTGGAAACTAGAAGAAGAGGAACAGAAACCGACAGTGAAGCAGAAAGTTTCAACGTTTCTGTTTCGTCTTTACTGGCTGGATCACTGTGACCTTTGGCCTCAAGCTGAATGTTTCTCAAGAAGCTTTAAATGTCACACGTTACACTTATATATAAATAGCATTTTCCTTCCACTCATCTTTCTATAAACGTGCATATAGTTGCACCATAGTTGACTAAATGGATTGACTGATGGATGACGCAGCGTCACACTGAACAGGAAGCCGTGCGGCGGGTCTTACTGTCTCCTTGCAGGTTGTACTCCTCGCAGCCCAGCGCCTGTTTGTCTGCCTGGCGGCAGCAGAGCCACTGGCCCTCCAGCCAGAACTGGGGGTGAAACTTCAGCAGCACGACTGGGTTGTGTTGGATCTCTGGAAGCAGCAAACAGAACAAAAAGACCATGTGAAGGAGAAATTAAGAATAATGGGATTTTTCTGCTGTATTAATCATTTTTTGTCTTTATGAACAAATTAAGTCGGTATAAATTTAGTTTCATGCTTCGTGTTCGATATCAAAACGTATAAAGTGACCGACTGCAGCAGATTTGTGTTTAAAAATCAAACCGGATCAGTCTGCAGTCAGAGTCCACTTCCTGCCAAACTAGAGGTTTGAGCTAAAAAGAAAGAAAAGCGACAGCGCAGTGGAAACAGAGGGGGCTGCAGAGAAACCAGCCTCACAGTGCGGTTCCAAGTGTGAAAACGTTTCAGCGTGACATCAGAGATCCGCCCTCAACGCCACGATCATCAGAACGACATCAAACAAAAACATTATGGAGGTGAACAGAACCTCATCCGGTCCAGAAGCTGCAGAACATCGGCGTCCATTACTGCCCGACAGCAGGGAGGTTAAAGGCGACACATTACGCTTCCTAAGACCCAAAAGTACTTGGCAAGATTTTGTACTTTTTAAAAAATAAATGTGATGCATTTTAAATATGACTAAATATAAATAAGTGAAATAAAATAATTAACTTACTGCTAAAAAACAACAAACATCAGCTGGTTGATTTTCCTGTGTTTTTAGAAGCAGAACAGACCAAAAAGGGAACAAAAATGTGAATTTCGCATAAAAATCCCCCTTTAAACCCATTTCTGATTTCCAACAGCAGCCTGGCAGATGACTTCATTGATCAAATATCTGATATAAAATCTACAAGAAAAAAATCCATGAAAACTTAAATTTTTAATCAACGATTTGGAGTTAAATTCTGCAGAAAAATCCAATAATACAAAAGTGCTGATGAGGGCAGATGGGAAATAAACTGATGGAGAGAATTTTCTTTCTTTGTCCAAACCTGGAAAACACTTGAATCAACTTCCAGACTTTTCCAGGTAACCTTTAACCCCTGGCATCCTTCAGTGGTTTTAAACCATCTTGGTTTTTCTCATCTGCTAAACTTTCAGTTTGACTGGTTCTTGTTTTTATTTGACCCACCATTTTTGAGCATCAGGACCCACTGACTTCTGCTCTTCTGAGTGGGAGCGAAAACATACAGCGTGTTGGTATCGTACACAACCTGGACACAAACACAGAAACATTCAGGAAGATTTGATAAGATGTGGCAAATATAAATAAGATTGTCCAAACGTTTGGTCCAAATCGTCGAGGTTTGAACAAAAAAGGCCTGAAAATATTCTTGTTCCTCCTCAGCAATAAACTAAACATGCAGTACTTTAAATAAAGTGGTCAGACTTGATGTGTGAATTATTATATTGTAGCCAATTTAAAATAAATTCTTCTAAAACCAGTTTAGACTTTAAAAGTCTCTTTCTTTTGTGGAATGGAGGAACTGAGGAAAGAAAGCACATTAATGTGATTCAGTAATGAGATAAAAATCCTGGGAAAATAAAAGTTAAAAGTGAAATGATAAATCCAGTTAACAGAGTTTGGCCTGTTTACGGTCAGCTGGTCTGACCAGGAAGCTGTGAAGGTGGAAAAAGGACGTTTGTAGGTGAGAGACTTGTGGGAGTGACTGCAGCTTCGTTGAGCCGAAACGCTGATCTGCAGGTTAAAGCAGCTGCAGCTGGGCTCTGCCAGCAGCAGGTTTTCTCTGATTGTTATCTTGGCGCAGACGCATGACGCCGTTTCATCTCCAGTCGTGACGAGATCGTCAGTTTTCATGGTGTTTTAGCAGAATGCAGCCGTGCTGCGTGTTTTACCTGGAACGGGTATTTGTTCTGGCAGGGGATGATCCCACCTCCATTCTTCACGATTTCCACACATCTGATGCGGCTCAGCTCCACCGAGCCCCTCTTGAACTTCTTCTGTTGATGGAAAAAATGTGTCAGAAATGCTTTTTCTGCTTCTTCACACTAACATGTTGCTGTCAGCCGACAGACACGTTGGTTTCTGAGCTGGAGTTTATCAGATGAGTAATAAGCCAACGCTCGTTTCATTTCTCTCATTTTTTTTAACTTGATGATGATGATACATAAAAAAACCTAAAACTGTCATTTCCTCTAGAACAGTTTTTGATTTGGTTATCTGCCTCACTGTAGAGACACGTGGGCGTAAAACTGGATTTCTCTCAAACCAAACTGTCACTGGTGTACAGTAAAATAAAATGTTTAGATAGAAACTGAATCCTTTTAGATCTACATGGATGATTTCTGCATAGATTTAAGCTTAAAATGATAACAAACTTGAAGCTGAACATTCAGAATCACATAAAGACGATTACAAAATCAGTCTTCTATCGCCTTCCAGACCTCTCAGGTTCTGGTTCTGGTACTGCTCTGCATCCCCAGAACCAGAACAAAATATGGAGAATCAGCTTTCAGCTTCACAAATCTGCGTTAACAAACCACAAATGTGGAACAAACTTCCAGAAAACTGCAAAAGAGCTGAAACCCTGAGTGTCTTTAAGTCAAGACTAAAAACCCAGCAATAAATTAAACATTGGCCAACATTTTTAAGTGTATTTGCTTCATGAGAAACATTGTGGATGCACTGAAAACATCAAAAAAACTTATCGAATAAATGTGTCTGATTTCTACTTCAATATTTTCTTACACTTAAAAGAGACAAACTAACTTAAAAGTAACTTTTCAACAAGAAATCTTACTTTTCCGTCAATATTAAGGAATTATTTTACTTCAAAAAGTCCCATTTCTTCATGAAAAAATACTTTTAAGTTGGTTTTGTCTTCTTTTAAGTGGAGGAAGATATTTGCACTAAAATGTAGACCAGAAATTCTTGGTAAGACTTTGTGTTTTTGCAGTGTAGGCCTGTCATCATGATACATTTTACAGGACAATAAATTGTCCCAGAAGTTACTGCGAATAAATAATAATATTGTTGTTTTGACACCATCGTAATACAACGGTGACGGGATAATAAAAATGCTAAAAAAATCTAAAAGTAAACAAAATAACACAAACAACAAATAAAAAAAGAAATTAGTTGAGACCAAAACTGAAGACTTTTTTTATCATCCAGTTTTTTGTATTAAGAGAGAAACAGTAAATCAAACAAATGGAAATTATTGATTCAGTTTTAATTTCTCTCGCGATTAATTTATGTCTTACTGTGACAGTAAGAAATAAAAACAGCGACCTCTGGTTTCCCTTCGTAGTACGTCAGCCTGGTCTTGGTGAGGACAAACACTCGTTCCTTGTAGTTCAGCGGCGACGTCCTTTTCTTCTGCTGCGAACGCTTGATTAGCGTCTCCTGCAGTAGCGGATCGGCACTCATTCTGGCTCCACCTGCAGCATCTGTCCGTGGCGCTACGCCGCGAAGGGACGGAGCTGGGCTGAGAGGAAATACAACGTATCACTTTTATGATTTTATTATTAAAACAATCAATAAACTTTATATTCTAACATTTAACACTGCAACTAGAAGACATTTTAAATATGCAAAATAACATCAGAAACAACAAATAATGGAGACAGAACTCTATAAACTAATTTATCCTTAAAAAAAAGGGCAAAATGAGGCCAAAGCACATGAAGTAAAATTGCTCTAAATGCACCAGAATTGGACAATTAGCCATTTTATTGTTCCCTTAAAATCTGGTCAGTTTTTCGTCTTCAACTTCCTCCATTTTGGTTTCACAGCTACAAAATGTCCCTGAGAAAATAATCTCACTAATGTGGTCACTGATTCCCATGAGTCTCTGTCAGCTGGTGACATATTTCCTCCTGAGAGACGCGAAAATGTTCAACCTCATCCTCAGGGGTCAAAGGTCATGAGTGCCAGCTGAGGAGGAGGCGTTCACAGACCCAACAAGAGGAAAGGTTCCCAGTTTAAACTCACTTTTCACACATTTACCTCAGATCCAACTGAACCAGTTAAACTCCAACAGAACCAGTTTCACTCGCAGAATTTCCACTGGCTATAAATATATGTAAACTGAAATTAGTCAACATTACTGATTTGTTGGCCTGTCATGGTAGCAAATTGTACTAGACGATAAATTGTCCCAGAAATTATCGCGATAAACGATAATATTGTTTTTTCAACTGATTCAACAGTAATAATGGCATAATAATAATTTCAAAACGCGTTCTTAAAGATCAATAAACTTTAAATTCTGATGAATATTAAACACTGGAAATGGAAGAAATCTGAAATATTCAGAATAAACAAACAACCAAAACTAAATTGAATTATAAAGTATCTGAAAATAAAACTGTCCTTCAAAAAAAAGAAGTTTTTAGTTAAAACACCAGACTGAAGACTTTTCTCTTGGGAGAAAGTGAAAAACAATAAATTATACAAATGGAAATTATTGATTTTGTTTCAATTTGTCTTGTGATAAATTGATTTATTACAAGACAAACTAGAAACTAGAAACCAGATGAACATGGGAAAGAATGGAACATGCCTAGCGACACTAATCTGTGTATCATCTGCATAGTTTTGACAAATAATCTTATTTCCTGTAATAACCTGAGTGAGTCTGAGCAAAAAGATACACTGCCAAATATAAAACCTTCCCTAGAAATTTTGCTCTAACTTAAATATCTGACTACACTTAAAATAAAACTAACTAACCTTTAAGTAACTTTTACCAAGACATAGAAGCTTATTTTAAGTTTTTAAAAAAATCCTTAATATTGATGAAAAACTGTTTGTTCCATTGGAAGATAAATTCACTAGAAAGATGAAAAATGTTTTGTTACAACGGAAATAATCTGCCAACAGAAACAAAACTTCTTGTTTTAAGTGTAATCAAATATTAAACCAAAACATAAGATGCTGTGTTTTTGCAGTGTACCGAATAAAGGGTCCTGGCATTGAGCCCTGCGGGACTCCGCATGTTATGAGACTTTACCTACTGAAACAAATAAATCCCTGTTCTTCATGCTAAGGAATTATTAACTTAAAACAATCTCTTACATCTTGGTGAGAAGTTACTAGAAAGTTAGTGCACTTCACAAAAAAAAGGACGAAACTAGAAACCAGATGAATATGGGAAAGAATGGAACATGAGAAACACATGCAATCTGACAAAATATCTGTAAAACTCTAAATAATTATAATAATAATTCATGTAAAACTTTGTGTTTGCACATTGTGGATTACATTGTTTGCAGATGATATTACGATATATTAGAGTGTTGAGAGAAGAAACTCCCACCATAACCACACGTCTATGATCTAAATCCAAATTATCTTAACATGGTGAAGCTGCATATTTGATCCCAACAGAGGAAGGAATGTGATGAATCGACCTGTTGGCCTCCAACCCAAAGCGATTCCAACGTCCATCAGCACCGCTGATAAGACAGAAACTCGATTATTACTTCCTTCCTCAGAGAAAAATGTCATTTCTAGGTTTGTAATCACGACTATCAGTTTTTTATTCAGCTGGATAAAAAAAGAAACTCACTTCCTCAACAATGAGGACAGAGAAGCAGCAACCGCTGCAGCCGCCAATCATATTTAAGACTTAAATTTACTGAGCAGAAGTTGCTTATTTTACAGGATTGATGAGAACAGGGGTAAAGAATGGCTGCATGACCACAACAACAATAAATCAGGATAAACGAGCCGCTCAGAACCGCCGGTCGGGTCGGCAGAGACCCGTCGCAGCTCAGAAAGGCTGGAGGAAAAGGAAATGCATTTTTTAAATCCTGCTTAAAAACAGCCTCCAACAGGAAGAGCCAGTTTTACTGATAACAACGTTCAACTCCAGAAACATTTAAAGTGTTTCACCTTTAATTCACCAGGAGACTCGTCTCTTTAAAAAAAAACAGGAAAGTTTTTAAATTGTTTTGGACCAAACTGAATCTTTTTGGTCGATGCCAAGTTATGAAACGGAAATTACTCTTGCATAACAAACTTTAGTCATGACTAACTGGAGTTGGTTTCAACAATGTCTCCAGAACTTTTGACTGAAACGTTTGACTGAAATGCCTCAAACACATTTTTACTCCCATTTCTGAAGGAAGTTTTACCTTTTGATGCAATTTGGCTGAAATGTGCAAAACTTCTGCAGAAAAGAGCTGAAATCTTAGTATTTGCATATAATTATTATTCATAGTAAATAACAAAGTTACAGTTTTTAAATCAGGATTTCATTCATTAATGAAGGAAATGAAAACTGTCCAACCGAACGTCGCTCTACATGAAAACTTCATTGCCCTCTGAACTGGAAAACAAGTTGTGCAACAATCGGCAACAACGGTTGCCCTCAACTTATTTCAGGAACTGAAGAGTTCAAAGTTGTTTAAATTGTTTCCAAATTCAATTTAAAAAATACTTTATTGATCCTGAAAGGTCATTAAATGTTTTTGGGACTCATATAATCTGAGTTTCTTCAGGCAGTTGTTGTGGTTGGTTGGAAGGATCTCCAGCAGCAGTCAGTATCATAGCGATGTCGAAGAAGCCTCTGACTGAAGACAGTCTAATGTCACGCAGTAGACATGATATTGCAAATAAACCAGAAAAAATCCAGGATAGCGAAGCTTCTTCTGCGGCCCTCTTGACTCTCAATCAATCAAACCAAAGCAGTTTTTATCTTTATAATGCCAAATTTAAAAAATGTAAGATTTATTAAATATTAAAAGTACTTAATGCAGCGATTTATTACAGTTTTAACAGATTTTTAATGGGCTTTATCAAAATATTCTGGTAGAAATTGTGTTTGACATCCCTAATTAGATTAAATATTTAAACACGAACATGGGAGCAAAGATCAGGTCAAAATATCAAATCAGAAACTTCAGAGTAACTGAAGCTTCACCAAACCCAGCGATCCGCTCAAACACCACGTCCTCCTGTGACGTCATCAGCAAACCCACCTTTCGTTGTTGTTAGTTTTTGTTTACATACTTTTAAAAAAATCATATTTCTGTTATTTACTGTGGAGGAAACCAAGACTTCTCCACCCAGCTGCGTTTATGGTTGTAGAGATTAAAGTCATAATTGCTTCAATCTGAGTCATTTCAGATTGAAAACATTGAAATCAAGTGTCTGTGGGAGTCACGCGCGCAGGTCTCAATATGATTGACTGAAATTGTTTCCGACGGCATTTGAACGCAGCAGCAGCAGCGTGTTCGCACCTGTCCGCAGGTGTTAAGAGTTTACATCCGATCACAAGCAGAAACAGAAAAACAACAGAGTGGAGCCTGGATCGATGCCTCTGATTGATCAGCTCTGGCTCACTGATCAGACTGACGGATTTTCAAAGTTCTGACTTGTTTGGGTTTCCCACGCCGCAAGAGAACGTTCAGAACCGAACCGGCCCGGTTCTGTCGGACTGTGAAGCGGTAAAATGTTCCGTCTTACCTCGACGCGTCATGCTCCGGGTCGCAGCCGAACCTCTGGACTCGCGACGCGACGTGAAGCAGCAGGATGGAGGAAATGAAGAGGGAGGGGAGGAGCGGACACGCAGCGACACGCCACGCCACGCAACGCCACGCCACGCACGCAACGCAACGCCACGCGCACTGAATAAAACACACAGATAAACTTCTTGCTGCGCCGCCGCAAAGTCACATAAAGAGCGGAAGGAAAAAAGGGTCACAGTGTGAAACTGGAGCACAAATGAAGATTCACTGTGAGAAAAATGTTGGTTATAAATTTACCAGGAAGTCAAAGTTTAATGGAGGATTTTAATTAGTTAATGAATTATTTTATTATTAATTTCTGTTAAGTAGTTTTGACAAATTAAGTAACAAATAAAATTCTAAAGTCTTTATGTTCGTATAATTTCCACCTGATTTTCACCATTTATTCTTGTAATGTTTTATATTTATTCTTAAAATATTATGACTTTTTTTCTTGTGTTTTTTCAATTTTTTCTCAAAAAATTATACTGTTCTTGTAACATTCTGGCATTATTCTCATAAATTATGATTCTATTTTTGTAATGTTAGTATTGGATTCTTTTTGTTTGGATAAAAAATATTTAAGGAACCACCTTGTTGAGTTGATATAAAACCGACTATGTTTAAACATCAACAGATTAGTGGTAATAAGAAGCCTAAATGTTGCTCAACCCCAACATCTGTCCTTGCAGACCAACAGGAAACCTTTTCTGCAGGCGGTTTCACTTCCATTCCTGGAGGTTCAGCGAACAGCAACTTCCTGTCTGACCTCACAGAGTCATTAGATTCAAGATTTACCAACCAAACCAAAAGCTACCACTAACATTAGCAGTTTTTTAAAAAGACAGACCAGTTTTTGTTTATTTTGTTTGTTTTTAAGTACGGCATTCAGTCTCCTATCTGAGGAAAGACGAACCTAGCATGATTAGCATGATTAGCATGTGTGTTGAGAACCGGGAGAATTAAGCTAACAGCAAACAGAGCCCAATTAACAGCTGCTGACAGTCAAGAGATCAACTATTCAAGCTTTCAATTCTCCAAGTCAAATTAACAGCTAATTAGTCAAGCTAACAACAAGTTAAAGTCAAGCTAATATATTACATAAATTAAAACAATTGCTAATAAACATCTAAATACAGGCAAGCTAACAGCTAATATGTTCAAGCTAACATATAACAGATTATTTTAGGAAGGTGATGTTGAAGCTAACAGCTAATCTGGTCAAGCTAGCAGTTTTTTAGAGTAACGCTAATAGCTAACATTGTCAAATAAACTCCTACTCTGTAACAAGCTAAGCGCTAATAGAGTTAGCGACATAGATTGAAGCCTAGCGCTAGCAGTCTGACATAAAACAAAGTAACAAAACAACAAAAGTACAAAGTGGTGAAAGTCAAGATGCTAACAGTCAGTTACTTATTTCTAATTTGATTTAGCATCAGTTTCATTAATCATATCTTTTTGATTAATTCACTCACTTTAATTTCTGTTCTAGTAACTTTGACTAGACCAAACCATCGGTCGTGGCTTCGTTCTTTTTCAGGGCTTTGGAGCAGAAAACATTTTAGAGCGTCATTAACAGAAAGAGTCAGACTGAAGAGCTGCATGACGATTACTGTATGTGTGCTCTTCTTCTTCCTGGATTTATTCTCAGACGGATGCTTGTGGTTTCGTTCACGTCATTGTTTCACTTCCTCTGCACTGCTCTCTTTATCTTTCTAATTCTCTATAAACTTTGGTGAATTAAGCACAATTTAAAGAAAACTGTTTACTGTTTCAGCAGCAATCCAAACATCAACGCCAGCGATTAAAAAGCCTCTTTCTGAACCTGTTTTTGGGTCTTTCTGCTGCTCTTTTTCACCTACATCACTTCCTCCACCCACCTGCCTCTCTTCTTGTCTCTGACTCCACGCCTCGGCCGTTTCCGACCTGCAGCATCACAGCAGCTGCGTCCGTGTTGAGAAACCAAGCCGACTTCGAGCTCCAGAACCAGAACTGGAGCAAAACCAGGCGGAGGAGGAGGAGGACAGAAGAGAGCGAAGACCAAACACCAGCATGATCCACTCGAGTAAGTAGACTCTCCAAAATCTAAACATTTACGCTTTAAACTTAAACAGAACAAGAGAGCAAATGAAGGGAGTTGGAAGAAGCAGATGATTGGTGTTTATGTACAGGAGATGCCGTCATGGATTCATGAAACTCTCAAATGTTTACAATATTTTGCTTCTAAATCTGCACAATCAGCCAAACCTGCAGAGTGACGGTTGGCCTTTGTTTCTCCATGACTAATCAAAACAAAGCTTTACAGCGCCGAGCTTCACCTGTGCAGATGGAAACGCAGAGAAGCTCCTCGGTTAGCAGCTCCGGCCTGCAGACAGGTTTCAGTTCTCACTGCCTGGCGGCTTGTAGAGAAGCAGTTTCACATCTGATCAGGGATTTAATTAGAAATTAAGAAGAAAACCAAAGTGAACACAAGGCAAAGGCGACTGCACTTGTCTAGAAATAACATGTTATCCAGCTGATTAATCGTCAGAACTGGCAGGAAATCTGAAATTACTCATGTTTACATTTTCATGCCAGTGTTTCAAAGTGGAACTCTCTATTTCCTTGTTTCTGATACAAACAAAAATCTGATGCTCTTCAAAACATCCAATAACAACAAGCAGAGATGATCAGCCAAAAGCACAACATGTACATTTTGCTCACAAAGTTTTCTTGTGTTGAGCTGCTGCATCTTTAAATGTCCTGACAAAACTATTTACGTTTTCATCATTCTGCCTTTTTCTGCTTGGAGGTTTTCCAACTGGCTGCATAGTTTTTCATTAAAATGATTAATTACTGACTATAAGATGTGTTATTGAGTCCCTCCACCAACAGAAACCAGAGAAAGTCAATATTTTCCTCCACAGCATCCAGACTGTTGCTCTCAGGATGTTCCAAGGATTTTCTTTTGGCATTAGCTGCTTTTTCACTCATATTATTTTTAAAAATCAGTTAAACTTGATAAATTCAGAGTTTTGAATGGATGGTGGCTTTTGCACCTGCTGCATTCGCATCTGAGCCTCTCGCTGCCCCAGTTGGTCTTTTAAAGACATTCTGCACACGTTTGGTTAAAAGACGAGGACAACATGAGTGAAATGGCAACAAAACTTCAGAGGGAAACTCAGAAACCCAGAAGAACCTCTGATTAGAAAAGAAGAAAAGAAATCAGCTTTACTGTCCCAAAATGGAGAAATCCAGGTGTAGCAGCGGCAAAGAGACAGGAAATCAAACATTCAGGATCAGACAAAGAAAAAGAACAAAAATAAACAAAATTAACAATTACATTCTGTACAGTAAGTGTAAAATTACAGCGTAAATACTTTACTGTCATCAAAAATAGCCAAGAAACGCACAACGGATCAGGATAACTAAAGAAAAATCCAAAATATTGATGTTTGTGTTACAAGTGAACAATGAACAGATGTGCAAAAACCAGCAGGGATAAACATTTGTCATGTTTATTTAAAGACAGGATGGTTACAGAAGAGTGAGAGTAAAAAAATAAACTGAAGTCCAGACTAACTGATCAAATTATCAATCATTTAATGTTTGAAAATTACATCATCAGACAGACCGAAACATAAAGTTACGTGGAAAATCCAGAAATTTTACTCAAGTAAGAGTAGAGATACTTCAAATAAAATTACTCAAGTAAAAGCAAAACATAAAATACTCATAAAAGGACATTTTTTCTCCAAATAGTTACTGAAGTAAATGTATGTTATTCTCTGTAATCTGCTGGGAGGAGGGATCTCTGTTGATGCTCCTTTGTGCACCACAGATGCAGCTTCATGTTTGAGGAAAGATAAATTATCCAGCAGTGGTTTTATTTTAACCTTCGGTCCATAAGAAGGAAAATTAGAGATTTTCTACTAAGTTACATTTTAAAAGAGTCTCTAACCAAAACAACACCCACTTAAAAATAAATGTTTAAATTTATACATTTATAAATGAATGTTATTTATAAAGCACTCTAAAACTAGGTGGTAATAATTAATAACTAATAACTGCTCCAAAGTGCTGTACAGTTTTCTTAAAACCACAGATAAAAAAACACAAGAACAAAGAAAGAAGATTCTAAATTTCTGAAAAATGTGTCCAAGAGGCAGGAAGTAAAATATAAACAAAACAGGGCCTAATATTGAACCTTGAGGGACTCCATAATTTAGGAGTGCTGCCACAAAAGAGCAGTGATGGAGAGGAAGAGAAGAAAAACGATCAGAACCAAACTAGCAAGACGGTGGGGAACCAGAGGAAAACAAAAACAGGAATCCAGTAACAACAGGATTAGGAAGGAGGAATAAAAATGAGTTGATGGTTGATTACTGAACAAGAACAGATGGACGAGTAGAAACGAGAGAGAGAGAGTAAGAAATACATCTGTACATCCATCCATCCATCCATTCATCCATCCATTCATCCATCCATCCATCCATCCATCCATCCATCCATCCATCCATCCATCCATCCATCCATCCATCCATCCATCCATCCACCATCCATCCATCCATCCATCCATCCATCCATCCATCATCATCCATCCATCCATCATCCATCCATCCATCCATCCATCCATCCATCCATCCATCCATCCATCCATCATCCATCCATCCATCCATCATCCATCATCCATCCATCCATCATCCATCCATCCATCCATCATCCATCCATCCATCCATCCATCCATCCATCCATCCATCCATCCATCCATCATCCATCCATCCATCCATCCATCCATCATCCATCCATCATCCATCCATCCATCCATCCATCCATCATCCATCCATCCATCCATCCATCCATCCATCCATCCATCCATCCATCATCCATACATCCATCCATCCATCCATCCATCCATCCATCCATCATCCATCCATCCATCCATCCATCCATCCATCCATCCATCCATCCATCATCATCCATCCATCCATCCATCCATCCATCCACCATCCATCCATCCATCCATCCATCCATCCATCCATCATCCATCCATCCATCCATCCATCCATCCATCCATCCATCCATCATCCATCATCCATCCATCCATCCATCCATCCATCCATCAAAAAATAAATAAAACAGAACTAAATGATCCAAAACATCAAAAGATCCCAAGATCCAAACAGAAATTCATCCAGGTTACCATTAAGTATCGTTTTTTCAGTAAGTGGGTTCATCACCACGGCTGGTTTGAAGGGCGCCGGGTCAAATCCAGTCCAAAGATGTATGACCCAATGCAAAATGAAATCTTTAAATAAGTGAGCAGGGAGACAGAAGTTTAAAACAAACGGGTTGAGGGAACTGAATCAAACTGTTCAGATGCAGCCTCACTGGGCGATGATTCCTGGGGATCCAACAGAACCGCAGTCAGTGAAACATGATTTGTCACCAAGATCAATAGAAACTGTGACAACATGGTCATTCAGAGTTATTAACTTTACAGTGACCGCTTGGTAAACCAGTAGAAACTGACGCTTTGAGAGAATGTCACAGTTGGATGTAATTAGTTAGAAAACTGATCGTTCTGTACAAAGTGTCCCTTTTGTCACGTTATGCTCACAAACCAAACGCTGTGGTTCTCATGCATCTGGTAAACCTCAGATTGTTAAAACCATTTCTAAAACAAACCTTAGTGAGACGAGCTGTTCCCATGCTGAGCTGAGCGCCGACGTTTCATTCATAGAGGCAGAGAAATGATTCCGTTCCCCGACATTATGAACGTCTATTAATGTTAAGAGTCATAATTAACAGACATAAAGGCTTTCAAACACCCATCTGAATAAAATTAATCAAAATTTTAATTAATGTCCATCCATCATCCATCCATCCATCCATCCATCCATCCATCCCATCCATCCATCCATCCATCATCCATCCATCCATCCATCCATCCATCCATCCATCCATCCATCCATCCATCCATCCATCCATCCATCCATCCATCCATCCATCCATCCATCCATCATAAACAAACATGAAGTGATGCCTTGATTTTTCATGCATGTTTGAGAAATCCTTTGACCTCCATGGCCACCATTCAAATATGCTAAACGGCCAGTTTAGCACGTTTTGGCACCCGCCTTCGAGTCACAGCTCCTCCCCCACTCAGCTCCTTAAGACTAGCCAGCAGCAATTAGCAAACACCTGGTAGAAGTGCTGAGCTCATTATAGGAGCTACTTCTCTGGTGAAAATGTTGCTAAATGGTTAACAGAGGAGCCATGTTATGATGACTTCCTGAAGGTGGAGTTTCAGAAAGAGCAGGAGCTTCTTAAAGAGACAGAGGCCCAATTTCAAGATGTTAAATTATGAAGTCAAGATATATACTGCATTTTAATAACAACTGGAGGTAACATAATAGCTACTTGATTTTGCTGTAAAATACACAATACTGCCCCCTTTGTGATTTCTGCAGGCGGTTCGTTGCACATTGTTTCACATTAAACTTCCCAGGATCTCAAACTGTTGGAGCCTTGTTTCCTTTTCCGACTTTGTCCTGGTTTGTCAACAGATCATTCCCAGAAAATACACTGAATTTTGTTTCTGTAATGAGACAAAATGTGAAAAAGTTTACATGACTCATCCCTTCTGGGTTGCAAATCTTAAATAATTGAATAAGAAATCTTTACTTTTGGATAAATAAAGCAAATTTCTTTGCAAAAGATGATAGTTAAAGCATTTGAATTGATTGTTTTGCAATATATTAGAGGAACTATTCATTGTGTCTGTCATGTTTAGTAACACAAATAGTAGATTAGACATCTTAATGAGAAAAAGAGTTCGTCGCTCGCTGGCATGTTTATTTTATCACCTTTTTTTCACCTGCTTTCATTTTGTGCCTTCAGAATCGCATGAGACTCGTTGCTCTGCACGAGTGTTTTTTTTTTTAAATTCACACAGGAAGTAATGTAGCCACCTCTCCCTGCAGTCTCAGACAAACAATGACCCGGCCACACGCACCACCTTTTCACTCGCCCACAGAAACACACAAACGGACTCGCTCAAAGCAAAGAGAGTTAATTCTGCAGAAGGAAACAATGCTTCCTGACAAAGACCTCCCACTTGAAACCACAGAGGCACAAAGACAGAAAAAAATTACTAAACAGCTGGTGGGACAATTTGCAAATATGTGTTTCCTTGTTAGATTTTATCTTTTGACTGGTTAAAATTTCACTCTTAAATGGAAAATGTTAACTTTAGTGGTTTAAACTTGGCCAAAGTCAAACAGAAAGTAAATGTAATGTATGCTAAAAGCTGCGTCAGAAACAGTTTTCTCTCTAAAATGGTCAAATAAGGATTAATGTTATATAGTAATACATTCAATGTGTAAATGTTATGCAACTCAGAGATATCAACGCTGGGGCTTCTCTGGTTTGAAAAATTACACTTTATAAATGTTAGACAGTATTAATTATTTGTTTAGATCTAAGTATGTAGTTAATTAAAGGGGGAAATTGTGTATTTTCCAGGCACATTGTGCTATTTTAAACTAAGTTACCTTCGGCTGTTATGAAAAGTATCAAAACTAATTTAGGAGAAATTTCACTGTAATTGAATGTCTTGAAATTGGGCTCCTGTCTCTTTAAGAAGCTCCTGCTCTTTCTGAAACTCTGCCTCCAGTAAGTCATAACAACATGTCTCCTCTATTAATACTTGAACAAAAGTTTCACCAACATTTCAGCGGGAAGGAGAACAGCAGCTAATTGCTGCTGCCGCTAGTCTGCAAGGAAGAGTTTTGATGAGAATCTTGGCTGGAACTTTGGGTAAAACGACAGCACTTTGTTTGAACAGGCCCTGAATGATGTAGGGAGATTTTTAACATTTCTTAAATATGCAATCCAATCAACACTCTGGGTTAGTTTTTGATGAGAGAATCACACATAAAGCTAGGAAAGTTGATTTTGCATAGTGCCTGAACTTTAACAAGTGCTGTTTATGAAACTTCGCTTCTCCTTTTGTATCCACAGTTGTTCCTCAGGAATATGTTTAAGTTCATGTATGAAAATGACTATAAGTCATTTTCATACAGGAAAATGACTATAAGTCATTTTCATACATTGTATGAGAATTGTATGAAAATGACTATAAATGACTATAAGTCATTTTCATACATGACTTATAGTGAGATATAGAAGAAGGAAAGGAATCAATTTCAGCTAAAATACATCTGTATGCTGATGATATTGTCATTTATTATATGAATCAGTCTCTCCAGGATCTTAGATTGTTTTTGTGCTGTGAATGGGAGTTAACATCTAGCTAAAACTCAACGCTTTTGACCATTTTGTGGAATTTACAATAAATTTGAGAAAAAATCTGTTGATTTTGAGTGAATTTCCATGATGGTGGAATTAAAAAGAACTGGAGGAACTGTTTATTTGCAGCTGCATTTATAGATAATTTAGACGTAACCCAATCTAACGTAAAAATTCTAGATTTTAGCTTCTATGTTAAAAGATTTGCCATAACTTTTCCTCTTTCTGTCTCTTTCAGATCAATCCACCCACTCTATATTCTGCTGCTGCTGTGCTGTTCAAAGCAGGTAAAGATAAGAATTGTGTTTCGTAATGTTGAGGTAGAAAAGTCTTCAGTGACATTTTCAGTTGTGATTTTTAAAGCTTGTCACTGAGTCAACCCTGCACTCTGTCTCTTAAAAATATTAATACAGCAGAGGATCCACAACAAAAGGTCTGAAAAAGACCAGAATAAGTCGCTACTTTGGCCCAGTCAAAGTCCAGCCCTCAACTTGATTGAAATGCTGTGGTTGGACCAAAGAGTTGAGCTGAAACGTTTGGTTGTATAAAGATAAAAACTACTGGGAGGAATTGGCAGTGAAATGAGGATATTTCTGACTTCCCAGTTGTGTTGTTTTGCATATTTCTAAAGATGGAGAGGAAACGTCCGTCCTGCAGAAGCTCACAGATCGAGGCCATGTTTTAGAGTTTTTAGCTTGTGGTTACCCTCGGAGCCATGCGGTGAGCGAACCGTGTCCAACGCATGAACAGCTTGCAAAGATGCATGCACCAAAATAACATTAAAAAAAGCGGTTGAATCATGAAACTCTTTAGTCTATAAACTTAACAGGAAAATGTTCTTTTGTTGCATATAATTTTTCAGTTAATCTTATTTGTAAGTTTTCCTCTTAAGATTAAAAATAGCAAAAGAAACAAAATGTTTAATCCAGAAGTTTGACTTAATTTCATAAAAAAGCAAATCTTTGGGTTTGTTTTCTTAAAATGAATATGAGCAGAGTTCAATATTTGATCCCGCTCCTTACGAGCCTTGGTTGTGCCACTTTCATGCAAAAGATGATTAATATATTATTCAATACATAATGCATAACACAATTTCTGTCAGCAGGTGAAAGCTTCGAGACTGCCCCCAAAATGGGTGGAGTCAAAGAACTGACTCCGCCCATTTTTGGAGTTGCCCCAAATATTCACAAAAGTGCTGCTCCTAATATGGGCAGCAGCAAATATGGTCTGAGTTTAACGATTGGCTGCGCCCATTTCTTAAGGCTGGCCCAAGAAATGGGCTTACACTTATTTGTTCATAATTTTTTATTTGTCCTAATTTTACCTTAAAAATAAGTATATGCACCCAAATAAATCTAATTTGTTGATTTGTCAATACCAAAAGAAGTGGAAATAATTTATCTCAGAGGTGGAAAGATTAATTTTGACGTTTTCACATTGAATAGAAAAAAATGAAATGTAAAGTTGATTCGACTGATTTCAGGGAGATCAGCACACGCATGGAGCTGGAGGGCAGAACGTCTCTTTGCTTCCCAAGCAGACGATACCCTGGAAATGCCCGGCGGGTAAAAAACATTTCTCTGCATCCGTGTGTTATTGTGTTGTAGGTTTTGATGTTTGCTCCATTTTGGTCAGGTGGACCGGTCCAGGAAAAAGCTCCCTCTGCCGCCTCCGGAGAACGGAGAAGGTGAAGGTTTGGTGAGGGTTGTTGCCATGTACGACTTCACGGCCAAAGAAGACTCAGACCTCACCATTAAACAGGTAACTTTCTGTTACACTGTATTCCCATTCATTTTGGCCCTTTGCTCCATTTAAATTCATAAACATTATTACATTATGACCTCTGGTCAAACCAAAATAACAATGATTTTAGAGATTAAACAAGGAAAGACCAGATATTTACTAGTCATTGAATCAGATTTAATTACGACACGCTGCTGTCAACAAAAAGCAAATAAATAAATGTGTGTAATGCTAACGCTTTGTGTCTCCAGGGGGAGGAATATGTCATCCTCCATAAGCAGGACCAGCTGTGGTGGCGAGCGGAGGACAGGCATGGGTACGGCAGACCGAGTCCAGAATCATTTATTCCATTAAACTCTGATTTAATCTCACAAATTTATCTCAATCACCAGTTTGTCAAAGTTTACAGATTCAGTCGGTTATAAATCCTCTAAAAGCCAACAACTCGGTTCTGATGTGTTTTTGCTCAGGAATAAAGGCTTCATCCCCAGTAACTACGTAACAGAGAAAACAGAATCGAAGCAAACTCGTAAGTTTGAACTTTCTCATTTCACTCGGCCGCAGAGCACAGTTACAAAACATTTAATGTTTATTTAAAATGTCCTTCATGAAGGTGGTACTGCAAAAACATCACCAGAACAGAAGCAGAACAGCTGCTGAAACAGCAGGTATTATTTATTTCTGATCATTTAATTTCACTTTAGGTTCAATAAAGTATTTTTGAACTTGAATTGAATTTTGAGGTGAATTATTCATCCCCCTGTATAAATATAAGCATATTTACACATGAAAGTTGCAATTAATGAACTCCTGATTTATCTCAAATGTGAATTTTTACCACAGTCCTAATAACTAATTGCTATTTTCCAGGATAAAGAAGGTGGTTTTGTTGTGCGGGAATCCAGTAAACAAGGAACTTACACACGTTTCTGTTTATACAAAGACATTAAGGTGAGTCACAAGTTTTAAATCCCAGACCTTTGAATAAAACTTACATCTACAGAAAATATTTAACCAATATTTCTTCTGTTCAGTTTGAATGGGGACATTAGGCATTACCAGATAAAAATAACCAACACTGGACAGTTCTACCTGGCTGAAAAACACGTCTTCAGCTCCATACCAGATGTTATACACTACCATGAACACAATGCAGCAGGTAGGAGACAAATCGCTGTCTCTGCAGAAGAAGAGGGCATTTCTCAACAGCAACACCTGATATAGCATATTACTTTAGTATGTTAGAGAACTAGATAGAAAGAAAATTAACTAGATAAAGCTAAAACTAGCTAAAAATCTAATGATAGCATCTCGGCTAACATTAGCATGTAGCATACTCCATTCATTATACAAAACCCAGTGTAAAAGCTAGATTTAACTAAAAAGCTAAAGCTAGCTAAAAGTGATTCTTGAGAAGAGGGACAAAATGGATCCTCTGAATAAAGCACTAAATTTTAATAAAATACACACAAAATATAATTTTTTAAATATCTGACTAAACTATCCTGAGCCATGAGAGAAATACATAGATTAATTTCTACTGGCCAATCAGTGTTTGCGCTTTAGAAACGCCCAGCTTGAGTCTGTGCTCACATTTTCACATCCTGGTCAGCTGTAATGTTTCCAACACTGCCGTCATACCTTATGGTTTTGTCGTGCTCGTATTTGTAGGTCTCGTGACCCGGTTACGGTACCGGGACCGATGGGAAGGTGTGTTCCAGCCACAGCAGGATTCAGCTCAGGTAAACACGTTGTGTATCATACATCGTTGAGACAATCTGTGAAAACCCACTTCTGTAGCTGTCTGATGAAATGCACTGTTTTCCACCAAAATATACCAATCAGAGCAAAGAGGCGGTCCTTACCGCTTTCAATCAATCACATGCACTCGCTGCTAAATGTGCTAGTGGCAGGAAACAACATATAGTTACAGAAACATTGTTTATTGTTTATATTTGTTCTTTGGCTATGCTAACTAGCGTTCACATTCAGAACAGGCCTGTGCTGGCTGCAGCGTAGCAGAGAGGATTGACAATGCTAAGACTCACTTCTTGACTCTGATTGGTTGTTTCTAGTTAGCACTGGGAGAAAGCAGATAAAACTTATACAGCATTTTTAACCAAAAACAAACAAGAGAATACATGAATCACACAAAAGATTGTGTATTATTATGATTAATTTCTTAATTCTCTGATCTTCTAATATTATCAAGGGACACAGCTAATAAGATTCAAGCAGTTTAACCTGATATTTTATTTAAATTGCCCCTGATTTTCTCTCTTTCAGAGAAGTGGGAGATCAACCCCAGTGAGCTGACCTTCATGAAGGAACTGGGCAGCGGCCAGTTTGGAGTGGTGAAGCTCGGCAAGTGGAGAGACCAGCAGAAAGTGGCCATCAAGACCATCAGGGAGGGAGCCATGTACGAGGAGGACTTCGTCGAAGAGGCCAAAGTCATGATGTACGGGAGGAGAATCGGGACAAAAACCACCAACGAGACACAGAGAACGAGTTTCGATAACGGTTCTGTGTGTTCTGCTCCAGGAGGCTGTGCCATCCCAAACTAGTCCAGCTGTACGGCGTCTGCCTGAAGCATCGCCCCCTGCTGATCGTGGCTGAGTTCATGGATAACGGCTGTCTGCTGAACTACTTGCGGCAGAGGGGCGGAGCTCTGAAGGAGGCGTGGCTTATGTCCATGTGTCAGGACGTCTGTGAGGGGATGGAGTACCTGGAGGCTCACAGCTTCATCCACAGAGACCTGGTGAGTCTCCAGCAGACAGACAGGGACGCTAAAGCTAGTTTCTAGCTTAAGAAAAAGAATGCTAATAGTAGTTGCTATCTCCAGCATAGAAAAATGAAAGCTAGTCGCTAGCTTAAACACAAGGACAATAATGCTAGTTGCCGGCTTAAGAACAGGGATGCTAAAGCTAGTTGCTAGCTTAAGAACAGGGATGGTAAAGCTACTTGCTAGCTTAAGCACAAGGACAATAATGCTAGTTGCCGGCTTAAGAACAGGGATGCTAAAGCTAGTTGCTAGCTTAAGAAAAGGAATGGTAAAGCTACTTGCTAGCTTAAGCACAAGGACAATAATGCTAGTTGCCGGCTTAAGAGCAGGGATGCTAAAGCTAGTTGCTAGGTTAAGAAAAGGAACGGCAAAGCTAGTTGCTAGCTTAAGTACAAGGACAATAATGCTAGTTGCCGGCTTAAGAACAGGGATGCTAAAGCTAGTTGCTAGCTTAAGAAAAGGAATGGTAAAGCTAGTTGCTAGCTTAAGCTTAGAATGGATCAAGCTTAGAATTGGCGCTCAAGCCAATCCCACAGTATGATTTATTGTGTTAGGCTCTAGGGGGCAGTGTAGAGTCCCCTGGAGCAAATGTAACGTTTAGAAGTTTAAAAAGAACAGAGGGAAATTTGCTGGTTGCCCTGTGCAGGAGGCGTCTGGCTGGAAAAACCTACTTTGACCTCATGGACGCGTCCAGCATAACTCAAGCTTTATGTGGTCATCAGTGTTTCCAATGAAAAATCAGTCAAACCACTGATTACTAATTTAGTTACTTTACTGATTACTTTATTTAAGAAGTAACTAGGTTAAATTGGATGTTACATCCAGCAACATAAACTTGAAAATGCCAATACTCACTTTATTGGAAGCAGATTATGAATATAGCTTCAAAAATATTTCAAAAAGTCCTTAATATCCATTTAAATTATGTTTAATTTCTGTTCTTTATGTGTTTGTTCTGTTTTATTCAGGCAGCCAGAAACTGTCTGATTAACGAGAACAACGTGGTGAAGGTCAGCGATTTTGGGATGACCAGGTACGACACTTTACTTCCACCCTTATAAAGAATTAAAAAAATTATTAGTAGTGATAAAAATTACATTTAAAATTATTAATTGATACAATTTAAATGATTTGCTTGGTTTTGTGTGTTCTTTTATTTTTTTCTCATCAGATCATATCAACGTTTAGATTAGATCAGTTACAATTATTTATTTCCTCTCTAGTTTATCACCTGGACTTTGAGCGTTTCTTTTAAACCGACTGCAGGTACGTTCTGGACAACCAGTACACCAGTTCCAGTGGCGCCAAGTTCCCAGTGAAGTGGTCGCCTCCGGAGGTTCTGCACTACAGCAAATACAGCAGCAAGTCAGACGTGTGGTCCTTCGGTAGGAAACCTTAACCAACCAGCAGCTGATCGCTGTGTTACTCTAACGCCAGGGGTCAGAGGTCACTGATGTGTCTGTGTTCAGGCGTGGTGATGTGGGAGATCTTCTCCGAGGGTCGAACGCCGTTTGAGAACCGCTCCAACTTGGAAGTAGTGAACGACATCACCAAAGGGATTCGGCTGTACCGGCCGCACCGCGCCTCCCAGCCGCTGTACGCCATCATGTACCGCTGCTGGCACGAGGTATCGACCCGCTTCGTCTGCACCAGAGCACAGGAAACGCTGGGTTCTGGTGTTTAGCTTTGAATGGCTTCGCTGACAGGCTAACTGCTTTTAGCACAACGTAAAAACAACAGTAGTCATTTTTAGTGTCCAATCAGATTGATTTTTGAAGCAAAAATTAACCTCCAGTGGACCAAGTGAAGCAGCTCCGTCATCCTTGTTGTTTTTTTCACTTTTTCTAAAAATATTTAAACAAACGGCAAGAACCAGGGCCGGCCCAAGGCAAGTTAACTGACCCTAAATCACCAGGGGCCCCAAGAACACCAAGCTCGCAAAAAATAAACATATATTTAACTAAACGCTATTACACATGGAATAACAATATCTGTATTGTTTTTGTAGTTGTTAATAATAATTATTATCTTCCTGTTGATTCCTGCTGCTACTGTTGGGAAAATACAAGCCAACTTGTCAATTTGTTATCTGTAAATTTAGTATTTATCAGCTAGTGTTTCTTTCAAATAGTTAAAATAATATTCTACTTTAATTCTACTCTGCATTTCAAAAAGCAAATAATTTTTCTGTAGTTAGTTACTCCTGTAAGGTTAAAATTAACAGCCATCACAACACTAATATAATGAAAACTAATTACTAATTAATTAATACGCACAAAATGTAGCTTAGAAGTGCTACAGCTTCTGGTGTTGACATGTTGGTATGGGGACCCCCCCCCAAACAAATCTGCTTAGGCCCCCAAAAAGGTTTTGGCCGGCCCTGTACACAACAACCAAACATCCAGGGATGTTATTTAGACAAATACATGTAAACGTTTTGATTTGGAAATTGGCCTTTTTGTTGATAGAATCTGTTATTGATTTAACATATTAGTCCCACATCCTTAACAAATCGAATAAAGTAACTGAACTGAAAGGTACTTACTCCAGTGACCTGTTTAATTTCTGTATATTTTTCTGCTAGTCAGACATTTTTTCTAACATCTTTTCTCCTCATTTTTCTTGGATGTATAGAAACCTCAGGGACGGCCGGCGTTCTCTACACTGTTGGAGGAAATCAGAAAACTGGCAGAAAATCCAGACTAACACAAAGATGCTATTCTTTTACCTCTGAATATCAAGCTGTTTTCAAACTCATATGTACAAATAAAAAATGTTTTATTGCTGTATATAAATGTATAAATTTAACTTACCTATTCTGGTGCTTTAAATAATTTATTTATTTTTGAAATATGCAATGAAACCAACAAGAGATTTTACATTTTAAGCTGATTCTTATATATGTGAAATTGGTTATGAAGCTTCTGTTTATATTAATGTACAGACTGTAACGTACAAACTAACAACAAAACTGTATGAGTGAATAAATGTCACTTTAAATACTTTCTCCATTTTTTATTTTTTATTTTTTGCAAAGTGAATTAAAGTGTATATTCAGAGGGGGTGCAACAACAATGCCCAATTTATGGCCTCTCTTTGAATTCTTGAGGATTGTAAACAAACCTTAACACCGAATTTGAAGAAGTCAATAAGACAAAGTAAAGGTTTTTAGTTTTATTTAATTCAATTTAAACCAGTCGACTGTTTAATGTTCTCAGCCAGCAGGGTTTCATGACAACTCAAATTGGGATTGTTTCCGTCCAGCATCGCCCTCTGCTGGACATTTAGAAGAAAAACTTTTTAACTAGCAGATGAAGGAATGGGTCGACATATGTATTAACTTTACATTTTTGGGACTAAAAACATCCTCCAAGAACTATAAAATGCTCTTTTCCAACTTGGATTACTATTTGAACCTTTTTTATAAAAATAAAAATGTCCTTTTAGGATAAAACCTGATATTTTTTAGTCCGCGAAAGGACTAGCTAAAAGGCTACAGTAGCCTGACCATTACCGTTTCAAAGCCGCTAAATTGGGCCAGAATTGGTGCTTCTTCCGTTTTCATGCTATTACATGTGATAAATAACTCAAATATAGTTGCTACAAATGTTAAATGGAAGGAAAGTTTCTTAATCAATCGGTTTATTTTACATTTCAACGCCTCCAATGGCGGCGCGCGCCTCCAGGAGGAAGAGCCGTTTTTTTTTTTTCTTCCTTCCCCTGAACTACGTCACCACTGCAGGGCGGGAGGGGAGTGTTGCCGTAGCAACGCGTCGGTTGAAACCCTCGCGGCTACCTGCGTGTCCGTGTTCTCAGGTGACCGACACGTTCCCACACGCACCGGAGACACCGATACTCGTGTTTACGTTGATGGAACAGATTAAAGCGACAAACTGGGATCAACTGCTGAGGTCGGTGACGTGGTGAGTTTGTTTTTGTTGGTTTCTCCTGTTTTAGTCCATTGAACCTCCATTATGTGGCTTTAGGACACTTTGTCACTTAGTTTGCCTTGTTTTGTAGCTCTGTTGACTAAAGATAAGTTTTTAACTGTTATAAATAAAAAAGAAAAAATATATAAGAGTCATTTCTTTGTTTTGTTCATTTGATACAAGATGTTCAAAAGTAAAGTCTTTACTTTGTCTTTTTTTATTGTTGTAATTTTAGTGTAATTTTTTTTCTAGAATTAGTTCATAAATCAAATGTAATAATGATGTTCATGATGACAAATCTGCATTAATGTTCACTGTAATTTCCAATTAAAAGTTCTGTATTTTCTTAATTACTTAAATTTTCATTATTATGTTAGTTTTTCTTACATTTTATTGAAATGGAAATAAAAAAAACATTGAATTTGAATTAGCTGAGAGTAAGAAAGGGCTGAAAGATTCAAATTGACATTTGGTTTTTTATTGCCACTTCTAATCTAAAGCTCTAGAGTCTTTAGTTTAGAAGACGTTATGGTTCAATAATTCATAGGTCATTATTAAGTTGCAAATAGAAACGCTAATCGGAATGCAGTTATATTAATAAAGCAATTATATTAATAAGTAAATACAAGAGAAAAGCAGCTGACGTACAAAAATAAAATCTTTGGATGATTCTTAGTCTTCGGTTTGTGATCAAGATTAAATTAAACCATAAAAAGAAAGTCATTGAAAGGGGGATTTTAAGGAGGATACACTAAATTAAAGAGTGAAGCAAGGTGCCACCATTCAAAATGTGTAATAAAAGTTTTTTTTTTATATATATTTAATTTGATATAAATAACTTGAAAGCTTTGTTCTGTCCTTTAAGAATAAAACTGTGATGGAGCGTTACGAGTCTCTGGGTCCGGTCGGGGAGGGCAGTTACGGCACTGTGGTCAAGTGCCGTCATCGACACTCCGGTCGCTTTGTCGCCATCAAGAAATTTCTGGACTCAGATGATGATGAGACAGTGAAGAAGATCGCCCTCAGGGAAATCAAGCTGCTCAGGGTACTTGCCAATCATCCTATCAACCATTCGGTCAATCAGTTGATTAATAACTGAGCCTGAAACCTGAGTGCTGCTGAAACACTGAGATAATCAGCCAACCACAAGACAAACAAGCTCAAATTCTCACAATCGAACCCGTTGTTAGTGTTAATTACAGTAAAACACAAAACTACATGCATCTACATTCGCTGCTCTCTTTTGAACCTTACAGCAACTGCGTCACGACAATCTGGTGAACCTCCTGGAGGTGTGGAAACGCCGTCGTCGCTGGTATCTGGTGTTTGAGTTTGTGGACAGGACGCTTCTGGATGAACTGCAGCAGTCCTCAAGCGGGTTGGACCTTAACACCTGTCGGCAGTACTTATTCCAAATCCTTAGAGCTGTCAACTTTTGTCATCAACAGGATGTAAGGAATACTTTCAAAGCTTCTTTTTAAATGAGCAAAAAAGGTATCAAGGATCATTAAATTTACTCCACAGGTTCAGAGGTCCAGGCTAGACTTTCTCATCAAGACTCACTGCTTTAAAGTTACAAATTAAATTATTTTTCCAATAAATATGTCATGGAAATATGTGTAACCCTGTGTTTGGAATAATTCCCCTCATTAGGTCATCCATCGTGACATCAAACCCGAGAACATCCTCATCTCTCAAGAGGGTGTGGTTAAACTGTGTGATTTTGGCTTTGCCCGAACCATTGCATCGCCCTCTGAAGGTGGCGTCTATACCGACTACGTAGCCACTCGCTGGTACAGAGCCCGAACTGCTTGTAGGGGACATCAAGTATGGAAAGTAGGTATTTTTGCACTGCTTCCTGTTGGATGTTATGAATGCCAAACAATAACTGGTAAGTGTGTTTGTATGTGTAGACCGGTAGATGTTTGGGCGCTGGGTTGTCTGTTGATAGAGATGCTGACCGCACAACCTCTGTTTCCCGGAGACTCCGACCTTGACCAGATATACCACATTGTCAGATGTTTTGGTAAGCTCTTACAGTAACCTCATCAGGATACTGATTCATATCCATTTTTTAATATATTTCCTTTGGCTTCAGGTAACTTGACGGCTCATCACCAGGAGTTATTTTACGGAAATCCTGTCTTTTCTGGAGTGAAACTACCTGAATGTTCAAAAATTGTCCCACTGCAGCAACGCTTCCCTAAAGTTCCACCAACTGCCCTTGATCTGACACAGGTATTACACAGTTTGGTTATCAGTCAATGAAGTATCAAATGAAAGTTCCTTTTAGGTATTGTTTAAGTGACCAAATCATTAACATAATTTATACCTTCATTTGTTGCTCAGAAATGTCTAGAGATGGACCCAAAAACACGAGCTCACTGTTCAGATCTGTTAAAGCATCTGCTATTTACTCAAGACTCTTTCAACATCAGGTATACTTTACCTTTGCTTTGTGAAATAAGTCTCAAATGCTAGAATTTATCTTCTGCATAGTCAAAAACTTCTGCATCTTTCTTTGTGTCTGCACAGATTTTTAGATGAGCTGAACACTAAAATTCAAAAAGACCACAGAGAAAACTCCACACTTCCCAAAATACCCAAAACGACACTGCCAGAAAAAGATAAAGGGGATGATAAAAACTGCAAAATCAAAGACAAGAAACAATCAGAAGAAACTGAAGATAAAGTAAACAAGGATAAGACAGAGAAAACAAAGGGAAAACAACCATCCAAACTGCCTAAATCTATTCATATCACCAATGAATCTTTTATGACCAAACAACCAAAAGCATTTGGCAATAAGGACATCTGTCACACAGAGCAGTTTTCAATGAAACCAGAAAAAACACCTGGTTCAGAGTTAAAGGAGTTTGAGATTTTAAAGTCAACTAAAATCTGTCTCTCTGACTCAACAGATGTCACCAAGAAAGCTGTGAGCTTAAAGAAAAAAACCTCAGTAGCAACAAAACCTAAAAATAAACCTGATGTGTCTCTAGACTCAGGCAAAGACTACCTTCAGAAGGCCAAAGATATAGACTACAGCAACCTGAAGCTCCTTGGGGAAACATCTCAATCTGAGACAAACGAAGAGTTTGTGAGGAACTCAAGCAACCTTAGCTTAAAAGTCAGTAAATTATCTAAAATTCCCATCACTGATGGTGGAAGTTTAAATTTATCCCCAAAAACCATTTTAGAATCGGACACAAGTGTAGCACCTACATATCCTCTCCCATCCTTCAATGACTTTCCTACCCCAACAATGGTCAATGTCACAAAGTCAGGAAGGACAAGTTTGACATCAAAGTTTCAGATTGAGGTATTGGAAACTAATGCAAAGCACGACTCCTCTGAATGTCCAAAAGCCAAACCCAAAAGCTTCAGGAAATCCCAAACTATTTCAACTAGTGGCCAACACACTCAAACACCTCATTCAGTCCTTCAAGGGATGCTGCAGATCTTTCCAAACAGCCGTTTACACCTATTACCGAAACCAGTGCTGCCCACAACCTGTCCACCCTACCTCAAGGACTCTCACTTTCAAAAGCAAAGACTCCTTCAAAAGACAAGGAACCTTCTGATGACCAGGGTGTTAGGAAGTATCACAGATTCTTGAAGCTGAATCCAATGATAGAAACTCCAACTAAACCTATTTGGTTGGCCCATGATTCAGATGGAGAACCTGACTCATCAGCATTATTTTTCTAGTTTGCAAAGCAACAGGATTGCAGCAGAAGAAAAAGTTACCTCAACCCTTATGCCAAATGAAAACTTACCAGTAGAAAAAGCTCTTGCATTGTCAGTGCAAGAGGACCAAGAGGATTCAGCCATTTCTGTGTCCATTAGTTCAACAGCTAATGCCTTAAGGAATAAAACCTTAATGCTTCCTGAAAGGTCATCTATTGACAAAACTAACAATAGCAGCCAGGAGTTCAAATTTGATGCAAAGTCTTTGAACATTTTCCACCATAATCAGAACCAAACAATGTCTCAATTGTTTGTTGATCACATGAGGTTCCCAGTGAACCCCAAGAATCAAAAAACTGCATTTACTCCAGATGGAAGGAAGAAAAGCAACAAGCTGGAAGAAAACAACACAAATTTATCCTCCGATTTGACTTCAGTCATGTCTGTGGATCACAAAGCTTTGACGAGAAGTCTTATCCTTCATGAAAGGGACTCTACAGACACTGATGAATTTAATCACAGTGTAGCCCGATCATGTACACCTTCTCCTCCTGCACCAGCTACCAATCTCCTTCACCTCCCTCCATCTTCCAAAACTCTCACCCCTTCCATCTTTGTCTCCAGTGCCAACAGGTCTGCTGCCAGTGATACCCTTCAGAGAGGAAGTTTTCATACCGGGACCAACAGCCTTTGGTAGTTCTCAATGTGTTTGCCTTTGAAATTTTCACCCAGCTAAGAATAATTCAAAAGATATAACCTAAATTTGTTTGACCCTCCTACCCTTCAACGGTCTTAAGAAAAGCCTTTTGTGTTGTTCGGAAAGCTGGTGTGCAGTCTAGCAGGGTGTATAGGACTTGAGGGGTTTTTGTGTAGAGTTTCGGGAACTGACGGTCTAACGGAATATCCTCCTCCCATTTCCCCACTGTCTGATCGTGACATCTGTCACGCAGTGGCCGGACAAACCATTGTATAAGTGAGAGGGTTGTCTCAAGAACTCCTGACATGTTTGTCCAGTAGTTGAAAGCATTAATCTGACTTGGCTGGTTGGACAAAATCAAAGTTAGATGTCCTTTTTAAATGTCTCCTCGCTCGATGGCTAGGTCAGTCCAACTGTTTTTGTTAGACTGTATATATTGATTATATTGTGTTTTTGTAACTTGATTTTGTTTGGTTTTATTAATGTAAGTCATAATTTCCAGCCAAACTTACCCCAAAGCTAGCATTAGCAAAGTTGAGAGAACTTTTTTTCAGATTCATAAATCTTGCACAATCCAATAAGAGTCTTGTTGAACAGTTGCACAAATGTTGTACATGACTAACAGCTAGCTGTTCCTCCTGTCTGTTGTAGGAATTTAGTTAAACCAATATGTTATGGTCATGACCGACAGGAACAACAGTTTGGACTGAACCAGGCCGCAAGGTCCTTCACCTCGCAGGTTGTAGTTTGAACTGGTGTCTTTTTTGCCTTCAGCCATGTAGGATATTCCTAATAACTTATATCAACTGTTTCTGTCTGTCTAGGCACGAGAAAAGAGTTTTGTAAGTGAAAGGTCTAAAAACATCGTCCATTTCCCAGATGTAAGAACCTCAGTGTTGCCGGAGCTCAGTGGAAAAGAAGGTATGAACACAAACTCTTTCTGACGCTAAATCTGACCATTTTTCTTTTCTATTTTAGGGTAGTTGTTATTACGGATTTTTGAATTTCCTTTCTTTAAGGAGAAGTTTACAAACACCTACATTACTAGGTCTCGTAAGCTTTTGACACGCTAATACACAAAACATTTGAGTTATGTGGATGTATTTCCTTGTGCCTGGATGTGACACGTCTATCCGTTCGAACAATTAAATAGAAGTAAAAACAAGGCGATTTTCAGCAATCACACTGTTCACGTAGGAGAGGCCTTGTGAATACCAAAGATAGTAAAACTAGCAGATCAAAAGCATAAAACTGGAAACAGACTAAATAATTTAACCAACCACTCAGTGGAAACGAAGCATTAGAGGAAAACTATTACAAACCACACGTAATTTAAGTTCAATAAAATAAAACTTTATTATTGTTTTATAAAGTGCCTAACTCACATCTCCAGCTGTAAATCAAACCTGGCCAGAAGTGAAATAAAATGTTTAATGTCTTCTCAGCTAAACAGAGCAAATGTGCTACCAAGGAACAGAGGACAGAAAAGACTCCAGTCCCACTCAGTCCACCAGCAGACGGACAATATGGACAAAACACAAATACACCAAAACAGATGGAGTAAAACGAGTTCCCGCCACCAAACGACACTAATCTTAATTTTCATTATTATTATTATTTAATCATGGTGATGCTTCAAATACTGACTTTAAATTCCTAAAATGTTAAACTTTGAGTATGAGAACACATTTATATTTATCATTTCCTTTAACAACATTCGATTATTGAAAACTGTTAATGAATTGTTTATTTTGGTAGTTTCGTGGTAAAACACAAGAAACTGTAAAACAACTAATGTAACTTTTTTTCCCAAAGAAATCAACAATAAATAAGCTGTAAAAAACGTGTGGGTGTTTTATTAGTCACAGGCATGAAAAGCTGAAGCTTCTGTAAACTTTAAGAAATCCAACCCATAAAACAAACTAATTACAACAGATGAGAACGCTGGCGACTTTCCACTGGTTTCCACATTTAGCATCAGTCTTAAGTTATTTAAGAAATAAACATGGTTTAATCCTACGACTCATCACTTGAGTCTTCTGATGTAATGACCCGAAGTTTCCAGGCTGGCACCGACTCCTCACTGCTCGACATCACAGTCGGGCTCCTCATTGGCTGAGAGCCAGCCCAACGCCCTCTGCTATTGGCCAGCAGCTGGTAGAGCAGTCTGAGAGCTTGGTTGTTGTTGTGGTTTCTGATTGGTCCTCCAGCAATTGGTTGTTTCCTGATTGGTACGTTGGTTACCGGCTTCCTTGCTGACGATTGGACCACGGGCATTTGGGTTGTGATGACCTGCTGTGAAGTTTTACAAAAACAAAACGTTTACTCCTCTAACAAAGTCTCACTATTTGAATTCAGATTTACAAACTGAACAAATATTTAGCAGGTTAAGCTCATTCAGACAGATACAGAATAATGTATCTTTTTGTTTTGGCTGCCATATTGGATAATCATTGATTACTATGATGAGAATCACAGCCAAACAAGACAAGCGAGACGTGTTGGACGTCTGTGTGGACGGTTTCACCAGGCTCAGCAGCGTTTGGTTTCTATCGTCCATCTCCTCACCTGGCGGTGGCAGGCCTGGTTGATGCTTTGGTTGTTGGACTGACGTTAGATCCCAAGTCAAAAATCCTGCAGGTCTCATCAACAGGTGAACCGTCAATCTCTGGAAGCTCAAATCCCAACAAAGACGGATAAGACTCCACTGTAAAGAGAAATGAGAGGAATATTGGTTTCATAGCAAGTAGCTATGGCTTGTTTTTTTTTTTTTTTTTTTTTTTTTACCAAAGACAAAAGAGAAAATCACAGCAATTTCTCAAACACTGAGAGTAACCTGTAATTTTTAAAACTTGTTCACTGCCAAATATTTGAAAAAAAAAAAAGCCTGGATCTATAACTTGTCTGCTCTGTTTGTATGAAGGTGTCTTTGCTGCAATCTGATCTGCCAGTCTGCTGCATTATTTAGAACAACAGCTCTGAGGTGTTTTTCTTTGGTCTCCATCTTTTGTTCCACCTGAGCTGCTATAAACACATCAAAAGATGAAATTACAGCCTGATTCCCAACATGCTGAATCATCCTGCCTGTTTCTTTCAGCTGAAAACATTTTCTGAGACAAAAGTTATTAAAACAATGATGAGTGAATCTGCTCACCTGGGATCCAGTTGTTGCTGTGAACTTTGAGGAAAAACAGGAGGAAAATGATGGATGAAGCAGAGAAACAGGGAGACATGATGACTGCAGAGGGAGGTGATGAAGAGTGAAGGAGGCAGAGAGGGAGTGGAAGCAGGACGGTGTCTAGACTTTAAAGTTACTCAGAGCAAGTTTGTGGCTCAGAGTTACAACAGAATAAAATCCTTCCTGCTTTTCCCAGGGAATCTCTGAGCAACTTAATCCCAGCAATGTTTCACAATCGCTGGAGCTTTTACTTGTTCTTATGAGAGTCGGTTGGATTTTTAGTAAAAGGCACAAATTTAAGCATATTGTGTCAGATGGATGTTTGTTAAATTAAAATAGGACAAACATATAAACATTTATTGAGGGAACATAATGAAACTGGAAACAGGTTTCCTCCTGTTATTATGATCTGGGATGGAGACAGTTGAAATTCCCCAAACGTTTCCTCCAATAAAGTTTGAACCGCCTTGCCAAACCTCAGCAGCAACAACAGCAGTAGCATCAACAGGAGAAGCATCAACAGGAGAAGCAACAACAACATCAACAACAGCAGCAGCAGCAACAACAGCAGCAGCAGCAACAGCAGCAGCAACAGCAGCAGCAGCAACAACAGCAGCAGCAACAACAGCAGCAGCAGCAACAGCAGCAGCAGCAGCAACAGCAGCAGCAACAGCAGCAGCAGCAACAACAGCAGCAGCAGCAACAACAGCAGCAGCAACAGCAGCAGCAGCAACAACAGCAGCAGCAACAACAGCAGCAGCAACAACAGCAGCAGCAACAACAGCATCAACAATAGGAGCAACAGCAGCAGCAACAGGGTTGTGTAATTATATTCCAGGCCAGATTAGCTGCACTTTAAGCCCAAAAGCTTTGTTTGATCTCCAGAGACGAGGTTTCCAAAACACTTCACATCTGAAAGTCAGAGGATTTATATGACGGCGTTTCAGGACCACAGAACAAAAAGGAGCACTAAATGTAACTGAAAAAAATAAAAAACTCAGAAATTTATCTCAAACATTTGAGAAATTTCTGAGTTTCCAAAAGTTGAACATTTGTTAGAAAAAAAATCTGAAATTTGGAGTTTAATCTCACAAATGTTCTAGAAAAATTGAAAACATTTGAATTTTGAAACTCAAAAAATTTCAGAAAATCATAAATTTTCTACTTTTGAAAATGAGAAAAAAAGATTATCTCCAAAGTTCAGATTTTTTTTGCTTACAAACCTGACTTTTCAAACTCAGGAATTTCCATAACTCTCCTACACAGTTAATGAGACTTTAAAGTTACTCAGAGCAAGTTCACAAGGTTTTTCTAGCAAATTTTTGAATTTAAATTAAATTCAAAAATGAGATTTTTTTATGAAAAAAAAAACTAATTTGCTTGATAGAAAAGTTAGATTTTTTCTATAAGTTTTGTGACTTTCCATTGTCCGTTGTTTGTTGCTGTGGCCTGAGTGGGTACATTGTTCATAAACCTGAGAAAAATCTTTTCGCCATGAATAAAAATGGTTGCACAAACCCACCATCGTCTCCGTCTCTCAGCCCCACCTGCCAGATCAGAGCTGAGCCTCGTTATTTGGGGTAATTTGTGGGATTGAGTCATTTTCAGGTTTTGATTTGTAGGAACAGTTACTCATCCAGATTACACTGAGGTTTTTCCTCCACACATTTTCAGAAGCAGCTTTCCTATTATTGAAGTGGATTTCCCCAAAGACAGCAGGAGAAATGTCCGTTTACATCAGGATTCATCCAATATGCCTCTTCTTTTGGCTTCTTTTAAACCAAAATATAAAGTCAATTATCAAATAAAATTCTTTTTTCTATTACTATTTAGTAAAGATTTACTTTTGTTTGAATAAAAGCTTAAAAGGGTCAAACAAAAACCAACTGATGTTGTTTTTGGTTTGTGTTAAATGTCACAATGTTCACTGGGAACAACAAGTCTGATCTGAGTTGGAGTTATTTAAGAAATAAACTTGGAATATAATCATATTTACTTTAAAACAAACTCTTTCCGTATTTGTTTGCTTTAAAGGAACTACTTTATTGCTGTAGAAAAAATGACAGATATAAAATGATAAATTTACATGACTTTGAGCATTAAAGTGCTGAAATCAAAATAAAGCTACACTAATAGAGCACAATGCAGTGATAATATGGAGTGAGTACAAGATTCGCCTTAAAATGAAACATTTTACAACAAACAAGTTATCTGGCTGGTTAAACAACCGTAAATACAATAATGAACCAAACGGATGGAAAACAACAGATTGCATCTAAACTTTGGTTGCAGTGTTTCCAGAAGGCTTTATGTGAACTTCTTGATGAAGCGCAGTTTGAGGTATGCGATGATGAGGAAGCAGACGGTCAAGATGCTCAGAGCCAGGTGGTTCTGCCACAGACCCCAGGTGGAGTAATCCACCCCTGCTTCTCCAGGTAAATCTCACCTGTCCTGCTCAACACACACACAGGAATCACAGTCATGAGATCACAATCATGAGATCACAATCATGAGACGGAGCTTTTAGCCATGAAACATTCCAGGTTGATTCGACTTTAAAAGGTTAATATATTCAAATTTGTTGTTTCTGTAAGTATGGTAGTGGATCTATAGTGCTGTGGGCATTTTTAGAAAGGCCCCAAGAACATCATTAAAGTGCAAAAAATACAAGGATACGTTATATAAAACTATTAATAATAAAATATGAGCAACATATTAAAGATCGTCTGGTTAAGATCAAACTAAGTGTCAAAATGTTGACAAACGAGTAAAGAAGAAACAATTAACTAATTAATCAAATTAGTCGTGATTAGTCAGTTTTAAAAGTAATTACCAACTAATTTGGTAATTGATTAATCAGTAACTGGAGCATAGAGACTCAGATGTAAAGATTCTGGAAAGATTATTTAGTCACACTAAATGTGATATATTTATATTCTTTTTGTGGAAACAATATAAATATATCACATTTAAGATAAAAATAAACTTTGTCCTCAAGTGACATTGTTTTAGCCTCAGATGGTTCTAATTTGGTTAAAAAAAAACTTTTACTCGTCAATTATTAATTAATTAGTTGATTATTTAAAAAAAACATGTTGGAAGTATCTTTTAGCTGCAGATGATCAAGTGATCGATGCATTTTAGGTACTGAAAGTTATTATTTGTATCTTTTATTAGTATTTCTAACATGATATAAAAAGGAAAAAAATGCAGAATATAATTTTTTTTTAGTCTGATGAATCAACTGTCAGAATAATCAATAGAATAAATCAATAAGAAAAAAAGTAATCATGGCTGCAGAGACGTTCATGTCGCTCCTAAAAGTTCGTTTTTGTTTTTCTCTGCGTCTTACATGGAAATGTTTCCTTTCAAGGTGAACTGCAGGTCGGGGAACTCGTTTGCTTGCAGAGCCTAAAAACCAAAAAGAAATAATAAAAATAAGCCAAAAATACTGCATGCATGTTAAAAATGTTGAATTCACAATTGAAAGTGTAGCGTGTAAGGATGATTTCTGGTTTGTGTTCGTACACTGAGCCCATATCTGGGTATACTGAGGTACTTGAGCCAGGCCAGCCAGTTGACGATGGACGTCACATTCACCAACAGACCTGCAAAGATCTGCACAAATCATCACATTTTAAATGTTTCTCAGCTGTAATATCGATTATGCTTTACAAATATCACAATACAGCCAGTAAAATGATAAAAGAG